ATAGACATGTTATTGCTGCGCGCGGATAATGGAGCAACAAGCGGCTTTCGCTCATAGGGCTACTGAATACTTTATATTATAAGCCTTGTAGATCTCGCATTGTAGTAGCCAACTACAGTTTTCCAACCTACCACCTCAGAATAAGAACGTGTTGCAGATAAGAAAAGTAAAATTAGCTCCACCACCTTTTCTTTTTGGAAACATATCTCCCTCCGTTCATCCTCGCGACAGTATCGGCACCAGGTTTGCAATTTTGGGTAGGCCTGCAGATTAGTAAGTAGGCCAAATTCGCTTGCAAACTACAAGGGCTAACTGGAATTGGGGTTTCAAAGAATATGGTTCAAACGCACACACGCACGCACACGCACTCACGCGCGCACATACACACAAGCTCATTTATGAAACTTGCGTTGAAAAAGGTGTACATTTTGGGTGTATATTCCATTTACGCAATTTGCCAAAATGTTTTGATACATTATAAAAATCCTTATTGAATTGTAGAAGTGAATAAATATAGATTGATTGAATGAATGAATAATTCATATATATTATGCAGCGGTGGCTCTGAATGAAGCGTCTGCAGCGTCTTGGACGCAGCCTGGCTCGGGGTAGAAGTGCGCATTGAGGCGCTGTACACTTCAGAGAGCGTTTGCGGTCCAGATTTCACAAAGAAACTTTGGAGCCAAAACTTCTGCACATGTGGCGCGACCTCTCACGGCACTCGCTGCGCACTCTGGACAGGGCAGTGAGACGTTTGAGTGAGCAATACCATCGGTGCGTTATTGGTGTGTGTGTCTGTGTGAGGGTTACACAAATCTAATGAAATAACACATTGCTTTAGATGTGAATGAGGAATACAAAAGTGTGTACTTACGCAGCGCAGAGCCTGCCACAGCAATAGGTCACACATCCCTGTTGCGTAAAGTGTATTTATATAGAGCCTTTCACAGGATCACAAAGCGCTTCACATTTAAAAACATACAGATCAAAATAATACACACACAAGTCAGATTTAATAGAGGGTCCTCATCATGAGCTGTGATTTATTCAAAGTTTGCGTGTTTCCATTAGACTTTTTCTGACGCTCACATTTTAAAACACAGATTATAATGTTTCCAGAGGGAATATGTTTATTGTTGTCCATTAGGGGCGACAGTAGCTCAGTTGGTAGAGCATTGGCCTTAAGGCCAGAAGGTCGTGGGTTCAATTCCCACCTCTGCACCTTCTCCACCGACTCCCACTGATGACTGCTGTCGTTGTGTCCTTGGGCAAGACACTTAACCCCACTTTGCCCAAAGCCCCCACTGAAAGATCAAGGCTATGCTCACACTCAGAGAGCAGCCTCCTGTGGACTCACCACCTGCAGAGGATCAGTGAGGGGCTGGTGCTATGAGACTTGGGTGGCATCTCTGACTGCCACCCCCCTGACCCAGAAATGGATTAAAGGGAAGAAAATGGATGGATGGATGTCCATATCTTGAATTTCATGCGTGTTTTGGCGTGTTGTGCCGAAGGTTGAGATCAGCGTATAGATTTACACCACCTCCAGACCTGGCGTATGTTTTGTGCGTATTGTTCGCTCACGTCCAGATAGATAAATGCGGAAAAGTGTAATATTTTGCGTACGCCTCATTTACCCTGATTTTGCCGTACGCAGGTTTCATACATGAGGCCCACAGTGAGGCCCACAGTGAGGCCCACAGTGAGGCCTACAGTGAGGCCCACAGTGAGGCCCACAGTGAGGCCCACAGTGAGGCCTACAGTGAGGCCCACAGTGAGGCCCACAGTGAGGCCCACAGTGAGGCCCACAGTGAGGCCTACAGTGAGGCCCACAGTGAGGCCCACAGTGAGGCCTACAGTGAGGCCCACAGTGAGGCCTACAGTGAGGCCCACAGTGAGGCCCACAGTGTGTCTCACACAGGCCTAGAGTTTACCTCATCAGTGCGAGGCCAGCCTGGCCTGACCCTCCTCCTCTGGGACCTACGGGCCCGGGCCTCTGGCTCCTCTACCTCACAAAGTTCACGCTGAACTGCAAAATTAAAATGAAAAAGGCTGCTCTTTTGTGAATGTTTTGAGAGCGTTGTCAATCTTTAAGACGAGGAATAGCTGGTTGTTCTCGCTTCACGCTGTGTGATATGATATTGGACAAAATTGTTCAGCCAATAAACAGGACTATATTTGAAGCAACGTAGGAACGTGATGACGCTCAGGGGGTTATATTATTATTATAATTATTATTATTATTTTTTGAATTCTGAGCGTTTCCAATTGTATTTAAAAATGGGAAACCTAATTAAACAATCATGAATTGAGCTTTTCCGATCTTATTTTACACTGATTCCTTTGATCATTTTTTTCTTAAAGTTCAAGTTGTAAAAATGCTATGTTTGAATTGGTTATTTACATTTTAACTGTGAGTGACACGTAAGGCGGGACAACAATGCACAATGACGCACGCATTCTGAATAGAATAATATGTATTAATATCTCTAAAACTAAAAGAGCATATTCAAGTTTTACAACAAAAACGACGTCAATCAATCAATCAATCAACTTTATTTGTATGGCGCCTTTCCAACACAAGGCCACTCAAAGCGCCTCACAACCCACATAATATCAAACAAATCAGAAACATCAATAAATACATTAAAAACAGAATAAAATCACAAATAATGGAAAAAAAAAAAAAAAAAAAAAAAACTTAAAATATTAAAAGCACACACGGGATTAAAATAATAAATAACCACAATGCATTAAAAAAAAAAGAGTATGTCAATAGAATCCTTCAGCCGTATGCACAGCTAAAAAGAACAGTTTTTAGCCCTGATTTAAAAATTGCCAGAGTAGATGCTAGCCTCACATCTTCAGGAAGATTGTTCCAGATTTTAGCTCCATAAATCTCAAACGCTGCCTCCCCATGTTTAGTTCTGACTCTTGGAATCAGTAAGAGGCTACCTCCTGTGCTCCTCAGAGTCCGGGCCGGTTCATATGGGACTAACAAGTCGCTTAAGTACCCTGGTGCGAGGCCATGGAGAGACTTGTACACAAGCAGTGCTGCTTTGAAGTCTATTCTCTGAGCCACAGGAAGCCAGTGCAGAGACCTGAGAACTGGACTAATGTGGTCATATTTCCTGGTCCTGGTCAGGACTCGAGCTGCAGCATTTTGGACATACTGCAGTTGTTTTACAGCCTGTTTGGAGAGACCTGTGAGCAGCCATTGCAGTAGTCTAACCTACTGGAGACAAATGCATGGATGAGAATCTCCAGATCTGATTTAGACACTATGTTTCTAATTTTGGCAATGTTTTTCAGATGGTAAAATGCTGCTGATGTTACTGATTTGATATGACTGTTAAAATTTAAGTCTGAGTCCATTATAACTCCTAGGTTTCTGACCTTGCCTACAGGTTCCAGGGAGAGAGACTGGAGGTGATGAATAACGCTCTCTCTTTGTTTCTGAGGACCAAAGACAATCAATTCTGTTTTGTCTGCGTTTAGCTGAAGGAAGTTATTTTGCATCCAATCACTAATCTGTTGAGTACAGTGAAGGAGTGATTCCACTGGTCCATGTTCTCCTGCAGTAAGTGAGACATAAATTTGAGTGTCATCAGCGTAATTGTGGTAGGATACATTGTTGGAGCGTATTAACTGACCTAACGGCAGCATGTAAATATTGAACAGAAGAGGCCCCAGAATTGATCCCTGTGGCACTCCGCAGGTCAGAGCCATATGATCTGAGACACAGTTTCCTATCTGAACCAAGTATTTCCTGTCTTCTAGGTAAGACCTAAACCAACTTAGGGCAGTCCCAGTGACACCCACCCAGTGCTCTAGTCTCTGCATGAGGATCTCGTGGTCGACAGTGTCGAACGCAGCACTCAGATCCAACATTACTAAAACTGTGACTTTTCCTGTGTCGGTGTTAAGTCGGATGTCATTTGTAACCTTCACTAGTGCAGTCTCAGTACTGTGATTGGCTCTAAAGCCGGACTGGAGCGCATCAAACGAACTATTAGTTGCTAAGAATTCTGTAAGTTGTTGGTAAGCAACTTTTTCCAGAATTTTTCCCATAAACGGCAGATTTGAAATGGGGCGATAATTCTTAAGAACTGTGGCATCTAGACTCCTCTTTTTTAGGAGGGGTCTGATGACTGCCGTTTTCAGGGCCATTGGAAATGTTCCAGATGAGAAAGACATGTTCACTATTTGTGTGAGCAAAGGTAAAAGACTGCTCAAAACAGACTTAAAAAATTTAGTGGGTAGTACATCCAGGCTACATGTGGAGGAACTAAGGCTAGAGACAACATCTTGGACAGTTTCATTATCTGTTGGTGCAAAGTGCGATAGCTCAAACAGCCTCACCGGCTGTTGTAATGTTATTTCTGCCTTGGAGGTGATGGCGTTTTTGATGCTCTGAACCTTGTCATTGAAAAATTGTGCGAATGACAAAACGTCATATGCGTGTCCATTATGCGTAAAAGCACAGTGCCCTCAGCAAAACCACGTATTTGGAAAAACTATAGGCTAACAGATGTAGTAGCTCTAGTTTCAATCGTCCTCATTTTATTCAGTCAGACTTGTCAAATATAGATGCCCATGGGAGAGTGAGCAAGGGGAGATAACATGCCCAAAACATGCCCAAAAATATCCTGCATAGACTCAAGCTGCGATCAGCTGAAATATGAGCACACAAAGAGCGAGAGGGAAAAAGAAAAGTAAATAGGCTTAGGCTAGTTAGTATTTTTTCTCTCACAAAAGTTGGCGCGGATCATATGCCATCTTTCGTGGAGGAGGAAACATCAAACATCAAAGCGCGCACGCGGGGAACAGCGGGACTAGTCTCGTTGTTGAAGTCCCGATGTTCCCCCACTTCTGTTGGCGGGGGAACATCGGACCCGGGGAACATCGGTACGCACCCGTTCTCACATGGTCCTGGTGTCTCCTCAGAGTCCCTGGTTCTCACATGGTCCTGGTGTCTCCTCAGAGTCCCTGGTTCTCACATGGTCCTGGTGTCTCCTCAGAGTCCCTGGTTCTCACATGGTCCTGGTGTCTCCTCAGAGTCTCTGGTGTCCTCGCTCCTCCTGGTCCGTCCCTGTGATCTTCCGCTCTTTGAGTCCAAGCTGCAGATGTGTTTGTCTGAGTTTAACCGTAGCCTGCAGCACGAGCCGAGAGGCGGCTGCAGGTGGCCTCAAGTCAAAGGGTCAGAAATCATTATTATTATTATCATCATTATTATTATTACTATTATTATAATGATTATTAATATTATTATTACTATAATAATAATTATTATTATTATTATTATTGTGTAATGTTCTGATGCAACTGTAGGGGGCGCTGCTTATGACCAGTGTGAGAAAGTAATGCTGCAGGAAAACACTGTCTTGCTGGTTTCTTTCTCTGGTCTCTCTCACATCTCTCTCTCTCCTCAGTCAGTACTATCATCTGCAGCAGTGTGTAGACACCTGGTCTCGGGTCACATGGTGCAGTGGCGTGTCTCCGCTGGTGGACCACCTCTTCATGGGAGTGCACCAGGAGTACTTCTCAGAGTGTGGCCAAGTGCAGGACCCGCCTCTGACCATCGTCGTCCTCATGGTGGCGCCGCTGGTCATGTGTACGCTGGTGCTGCCCATGGTCTGTGTGCATCTGACCACATCGTACCAGACCTGACGCCATCATCACCAGAAAGACTCACATGGTTTTCATCTTAAGTCAAGGATTTAGAGAGAGAGACCAGGGCAGGGTGTGGTGCAGGACCATGTGACATTCAGAGCGGGTCAAACAGTCAGCTGCAGTGGTTCTCCTGGCACACCCATAGTCCTCTGTCCGCATATGGTATCTTCAAACCTTTCCTTTTGTGTTGTTTGAACTTTGCATCTGGTTCATGTGTTAAAGTAAAAAACAGTTTCTTTGTAAATATTCACTTTGGTCTGAAGTGTTTTATTCAAGAAAAACAAATATGGACCAGAGAGAGAGACCAGTGAGAGACCAGTGAGAGACCAGAGAGAGAGACCAGAGAGAGACCAGAGAGAGACCAGAGAGAGACCAGAGAGAGACCAGAGAGAGACTAGAGAGAGACCAGTGAGAGACCAGAGAGAGACCAGAGAGAGACCAGAGAGAGACCAGAGAGAGACTAGAGAGAGACCAGTGAGAGACCAGAGAGAAACCAGAGAGAGACCAGAGAGAGACCAGAGAGAGACCAGAGAGAGACCAGAGAGAGAGACCAGAGAGAGACCAGAGAGAGACCAGAGAGAGACCAGAGAGAGAGACCAGAGATAGACCAGAGAGAGACCAGAGAGAGACCAGAGAGAGACCACAGAGAGACCAGAGAGAGAGACCAGAGAGAGACCAGAGAGAGACCACAGAGAGACCACAGAGAGATCAGAGACAGACCAGAGAGAGAGACCAGAGAGAGAGACCAGAGAGAGACCAGAGAGAGACCAGAGAGAGACCAGAGACAGACCAGAGAGAGAGACCAGAGAGAGAGACCAGAGAGAGACCAGAGAGAGAGACCACAGAGAGACCAGAGAGAGAGACCAGAGAGAGAGACCAGAGAGAGAGACCAGAGAGAGAGACCAGAGAGAGACCAGAGAGAGACCAGAGACAGACTAGAGAGAGACCAGAGAGAGACCAGAGAGAGACCAGTGAGAGACCAGAGAGAGACCAGTGAGAGACCAGAGAGAGACCAGAGAGAGACCAGTGAGAGACCAGAGAGAGAGACCAGAGAGAGAGACCAGAGAGAGAGACCAGAGAGAGAGACCAGAGAGAGAGACCAGAGACAGACTAGAGAGAGACCAGAGAGAGACCAGAGACAGACTAGAGAGAGACCAGAGAGAGACCAGAGAGAGACCAGAGAGAGACCAGAGAGAGACCAGAGAGAGACCAGAGAGAGAGACCAGAGAGAGAGACCAGAGAGAGACCAGAGAGAGACCAGAGAGAGACCAGAGAGAGAGACCAGAGAGAGAGACCAGAGAGAGAGACCAGAGAGAGACCAGAGAGAGACCAGAGAGAGAGACCAGAGAGAGACCAGAGAGGGACCAGAGAGAGACCAGAGAGAGACCAGAGAGAGAGACCAGAGAGAGACCAGAGAGAGACCAGAGAGAGACCAGAGAGAGACCAGAGAGAGACCAGAGAGAGACCATGCAGAGAGACAGTACTTTTGTACAGTTATTGAACATATTAAAGGAAACATAAGAGGGGCCCTAAGAATGAGGGACTTAGGGCTTTTAGAACAAACACAGATAATAAATATAAATAAACTCTCTCCATCACAGTGTTCGGTGAAAAGTCAGATCCAGAGTGAGTCCTTCACAGTTAAAGCAAGTCCAGTCCACGTTTAGACCTGGGCTCTCATTTAGGCACCTCCTCTTTATGTGGAGGAGCAGCGGCTCTACTCCGCACTCTTCCCGCATCTCTGAAACTCATTTTTTCCTCAGGACCAGAGGAGAGGGTGGGAACAAAGACAGAGCTCAGACTGCAGACGCTACTCCCTCTTCACCACAACAGTACGATACATGCTTCCTTCACTAAGAACAAGACATTTTTCTCCAAGACTGGTTCCTCCAATGTCTGTCCTTGGTCTATCCAAGATGTCTGTCCCTGGTCTCTCCAAGATGTCTGCGCCTGGTCTCTCCAAGATGTCTGCCTCTGGTCTCTCCAAGATGTCTGCCTCTGGTCTCTCCAAGATGGTCTGCCTCTGGTCTCTCCAAGATGGTCTGCCTCTGGTCTCTCCAAGATGTCTGCCTCTGGTCTCTCCAAGATGTCTGCCTCTGGTCTCTCCAAGATGGTCTGCCTCTGGTCTCTCCAAGATGTCTGCCTCTGGTCACTTCAAGATGTCTTCCTCCCCTGGTCTCTCCAAGATGTCTGCCTCTGGTCTCTCCAAGATGTCTGCCTCTGGTCTCTCCAAGATGTCTGCCTCTGGTCTCTCCAAGATGTCTGCCCATTCAGATCAGTGGCCTGTGCTCATTGGTTCATGCCAGAGGAACATGTGAACATTCTGACCAATCAGAGCGCTGCTGAGAGACCCGAGATAGAGACTAGAGAGAGGCATACCCAAGAGACCAGCAAGAGACCAGCAAGAGACCAGCAAGAGAGCCAGAGATAGAGAGACCTTAGAGAGAAACCAGATAGAGGGATCAGACCAGAAAATGAAGCCAAGGAGAGAGACCAGAGAGAGAGAGAGAGGCTTAACTTTTACAGCTCTGGTTCAGACCGGACCAGTGCAGGTCAGACCAGACCAGTGCAGGTCAGATCCTGGTTTGTTGAACAGTGTCTGCACATGGTACGAGGACTGTTGGGGCTAAATGAGAGACCAGGTTTAACTCAGTCCAGATGCACCGTTTTGTAGAAATTAGTCCAACATCAGACCAGGTTCAGACCTGGTTTAGTCCAGTTTAGTCCAGTTCGTTCCAGTTTAATCCAGTTTAGACCAGTTCAGACCAGCATGTGGATCTCGTTGTACTCGTCCTGTCCGTCTTCACCAAAGTTTGGAGAGTCTTCATCACAATCCAACTGGAAAACACAGAAAGAGACAGTCAGAGAGAGACCAGAGAGAGACCAGAGAGAGACCAGAGAGAGACCAGAGAGAGAGACCAGAGAGAGACCAGAGAGATACCAAATTGAGACCAGGGACTTGTCTCCTGACTCTGAGGAGCACAGGGCCTGCTGTACCTGTGCTATATGAATGTGTGACATCACTCACGGCCTGCAGCTCCCGCTCCTGGAACACTCGGGACAGCACCAGTCTGCGCAGAGGCACCGTCATGATGAGCACGAACGGAAACGCCAGAGACGCCACCGTGGACTTCACTACCCACAATGCAACAATGCAGGCCACCTGGATGATGGTGAACATGTTCATGCGCCACGTCCGCACCTGCAGAGGACGGGGCACAGGGACAGGGACAGGGGACGAGAAGAGAGAGGTGAAGCTGAGGTCCCTGACCAGAGAGAGACCAGAGAGAGACCAGAGAGAGACCAGAGAGAGAGACCAGAGAGAGAGACCAGAGACCAGAGACCAGAGAGAGAGACCAGAGAGAGACCAGAGAGAGACCAGAGAGAGACCAGAGAGAGACCAGAGAGAGACCAGAGAGAGAGACCAGAGAGAGACCAGAGAGAGAGACCAGAGACCAGAGACCAGAGAGAGAGACCAGAGAGAGACCAGAGAGAGACCAGAGAGAGACCAGAGAGAGACCAGAGAGAGACCAGAGAGAGAGACCAGAGAGAGACCAGAGAGAGACCAGAGAGAGACCAGAGAGAGACCAGAGAGAGACCACAGAGAGACCAGAGAGAGACCAGAGAGAGAGGCCAGAGAGAGACCAGAGAGAGACCAGAGAGAGACCAGAGACCAGAGAGAGACCAGAGACCAGAGAGAGACCAGAGACCAGAGAGACCAGAGAGAGAGACCAGAGAGAGACCAGAGAGAGACCAGAGAGAGAGACCAGAGAGAGACCTGAGAGAGACCAGAGAGAGACAAGAGAGAGACCAGAGAGAGACCAGAGAGAGACCAGAGAGAGACCAGAGAGAGAGGCCAGAGAGAAACAAGAGAGAGACAAGAGAGAGACCAGAGAGAGACCAGAGAGAGACCAGAGAGAGACCAGAGAGAGACCAGAGGCTGCCTTCCACCTCCTCAGACTCAGAGTCTAAACTACAGTAGCACCATCTTGTGGACAGTGTGTGTCACTACAACCAGTGAACTACACCATCATTTAAAACGAAAGAGAGGAGTGTTGTGTCTTTCTGGTATGTCTCCCTCTGGTCTCTCTCTGGTCCTCTCATAGACTAGTTCTGGAAGGTCTGGTCTCTGGTCTCACATTGTTGACTGAGAGACCCGGTCTGGGTCTGGTCTGGGTCTGATCTCACCTTGTTGACGTAGACCCGGTCTGGGTCTGGTCTGGGTCTGGTCTCACCTTGCTGACGTAGACCCGGTCTGGGTCTGGTCTGGGTCTGGTCTCACCTTGTTAACGTAGACCCGGTCTGGGTCTGGTCTCACCTTGTTGACGTAGACCCGGTCTGGGTCTGGTCTGGGTCTGGTCTCACCTTGTTGACGTAGACCCGGTCTGGGTCTGGTCTGGGTCTGGTCTCACCTTGTTGACGTAGACCCGGTCTGGGTCTGGTCTCACCTTGTTGACGTAGACCCGGTCTGGGTCTGGTCTCACCTTGTTGACGTAGACCCGGTCTGGGTCTGGTCTCACCTTGCTGACGTAGACCCGGTCTGGGTCTGGTCTGGGTCTGGTCTCACCTTGTTAACGTAGACCCGGTCTGGGTCTGGTCTCACCTTGTTGACGTAGACCCGGTCTGGGTCTGGTCTCACCTTGTTGACGTAGACCCGGTCTGGGTGGTGCTTGGCGGGCGTGACGATGAGGGTGATGCGTTCGTAGAGCTGGATCCCGGTGAGTGATGTCACACCCATGTACAGGAAGATCCCGAAGAGGACCGCGAGCGGAATGAGGCGCAGCACGTCTGTCATCACGATGGAGAGACCTGGGACCAGAGCGAGACCTTTGGTCCAACTGGGTCTACTTTAGCCCAGGTGTAGTCCTGCTTCATTCTCTGCTTCAGGCCCCATCCCCGCCCCGTTCCCCCCTGGTCCGGTCCGGGTCCTGTCCCGGTCCCTGGTCCCCTCCTGGTCCCTCTTGGTCCCCTCCTTGTCCCCTCCCGGTCCCCTCCTGGTCCCCTCCTGGTCCCTCTTGGTCCCCTCCTGGTCCCCTCCTGGTCCCTCTTGGTCCCCACCTGGGCCCTTTTGGTCCCCTCCTGGTCCCCTCCTGGTCCCTCCTGGTCCCTCTTGGTCCCCTCCTGGTCCCTCCTGGTCCCCTCCTGGTCCCTCCCGGTCCCCTCCTGGTCCCTCCTGGTCCCCTCCTGGTCCCTCTTGGTCCCCTCCTGGTCCCTCTTGGTCCCCTCCTGGTCCCTCCTGGTCCCCTCCTGGTCCCTCCTGGTCCCTCCCGGTCCCCTCCTGGTCCCTCCTGGTCCCCTCCTGGTCCCTCTTGGTCCCCTCCTGGTCCCCTCCTGGTCCCTCCTGGTCCCTCTTGGTCCCCTCCTTGTCCCCTCCCGGCCCCCTTCTGGTCCCCTCCTGGTCCCCTCCTGGTCCCTCTTGGTCCCCTCCTGGTCCCCTCTTGGTCCCTCCTGGTCCCCTCCTGGTCCCCCTCCCGGTCCCCTCCTGGTCCCCTCCCGGTCCCCTCCTGGTCCCCTCCTGGTCCCCTCCTGGTCCCTCCTGGTCCCTCCCGGTCCCCTCCTGGTCCCTCCCGGTCCCCTCCCGGTCCCTCCTGGTCCCCTCCTGGTCCCCTCCTGGTCCCCTCCTGGTCCCCTCCTGGTCCCCTCCTGGTCCCTCTTGGTCCCCTCCTGGTCCCTGGTCCCCTCCTGGTCCCTCTTGGTCCCCTCCTTGTCCCCTCCCGGTCCCCTCCTGGTCCCCTCCTGGTCCCTCCTGGTCCCTCTTGGTCCCCTCCCGGTCCCCTCCTGGTCCCTCCTGGTCCCTCCCGGTCCCTCCCGGTCCCCTCCTGGTCCCTCCCGGTCCCCTCCTGGTCCCTCCTGGTCCCTCCTGGTCCCCTCCTGGTCCCTCTTGGTCCCCTCCTGGTCCCCTCCTGGTCCCTCCTGGTCCCTCTTAGTCCCCTCCTTGTCCCCTCCCGGCCCCCTTCTGGTCCCCTCCTGGTCCCCTCCTGGTCCCTATTGGTCCCCTCCTGGTCCCCTCTTGGTCCCTCCTGGTCCCCTCCTGGTCCCCTCCCGGTCCCCTCCTGGTCCCCTCCTGGTCCCCTCCTGGTCCCTCCTGGTCCCTCCCGGTCCCCTCCTGGTCCCTCCTGGTCCCTCCCGGTCCCCTCCTGGTCCCTCCCGGTCCCCTTGGTCCCCTCCTGGTCCCTGGTCCCCTCCTGGTCCCTGGTCCCCTCCTGGTCCCTCTTGGTCCCCTCCTTGTCCCCTCCCGGTCCCCTCCTGGTCCCCTCCTGGTCCCTCCTGGTCCCTCTTGGTCCCCTCCCGGTCCCCTCCTGGTCCCCTCCTGGTCCCCTCCTGGTCCCCTCCTGGTCCCTCCTGGTCCCTCCTGGTCCCTCCTGGTCCCCTCCTGGTCCCTCCTGGTCCCTCCTGGTCCCTCCTGGTCCCTCCCGGTCCCCTCCTGGTCCCTCCCGGTCCCCTCCTGGTCCCTCCTGGTCCCTCCTGGTCCCCTCCTGGTCCCTCCCGGTCCCCTCCCGGTCCCCTCCTGGTCCCTCTTGGTCCCCTCCTGGTCCCCTCCTGGTCCCCTCCTGGTCCCTCCTGGTCCCCTCCTGGTCCCTCCTGGTCCCCTCCTGGTCCCCTCCTGGTCCCTCTTGGTCCCCTCCTGGTCCCCTCCTGGTCCCTCCTGGTCCCTCCTGGTCCCTCCTGGTCCCTCCCGGTCCCCTCCTGGTCCCCTCCTGGTCCCTCTTGGTCCCCTCCTGGTCCCTCCTGGTCCCCTCCTGGTCCCCTCCTGGTCCCTCCTGGTCCCCTCCTGGTCCCCTCCTGGTCCCCTCCTGGTCCCCTCCTGGTCCCTCCTGGTCCCTCCCGGTCCCCTCCTGGTCCCTCCTGGTCCCTCCTGGTCCCCTCCTGGTCCCCTCCTGGTCCCCTCCTGGTCCCTCTGGTCCCCTCCTGGTCCCCTCCTGGTCCCTCCTGGTCCCTCCTGGTCCCTCCGGTCCCCTCCTGGTCCCTCCTGGTCCCTCCTGGTCCTCCTGGTCCCTCCTGGTCCCCTCCTGGTCCCCTCCTGGTCCCTCCTGGTCCCCTCCTGGTCCCTCCTGGTCCCCTCCTGGTCCCCTCCTGGTCCCTCTTGGTCCCCTCCTGGTCCCCTCCTGGTCCCTCCTGGTCCCCTCCTGGTCCCCTCCTGGTCCCTCCTGGTCCCCTCCTGGTCCCTCCCGGTCCCCTCCCGGTCCCCTCCTGGTCCCTCTTGGTCCCCTCCTGGTCCCCTCCTGGTCCCCTCCTGGTCCCTCCTGGTCCCCTCCTGGTCCCTCCTGGTCCCCTCCTGGTCCCCTCCTGGTCCCTCTTGGTCCCCTCCTGGTCCCCTCCGGGTCCCTCCTGGTCCCTCCTGGTCCCTCCCGGTCCCCTCCTGGTCCCCTCCTGGTCCCTCTTGGTCCCCTCCTGGTCCCTCCTGGTCCCCTCCTGGTCCCCTCCTGGTCCCTCCTGGTCCCCTCCTGGTCCCCTCCTGGTCCCCTCCTGGTCCCTCTTGGTCCCCTCCTGGTCCCCTCCTGGTCCTCCTCCTGGTCCCTCCTGGTCCCTCCCGGTCCCCTCCTGGTCCCTCCCGGTCCCCTCCTGGTCCCCTCCTGGTCCCTCTTGGTCCCCTCCTGGTCCCCTCCTGGTCCCTCTTGGTCCCCTCCTGGTCCCCTCCTGGTCCCCTCCTGGTCCCTCCTGGTCCCTCCTGGTCCCCTCCTGGTCCCTCTTGGTCCCCTCCTGGTCCCTCCTGGTCCCCTCCTGGTCCCTCCTGGTCCCTCCTGGTCCCCTCCTGGTCCCCTCCTGGTCCCCTCCTGGTCCCTCCTGGTCCCCTCCTGGTCCCCTCCTGGTCCCTCCTGGTCCCCTCCTGGTCCCTCCTGGTCCCCTCCTGGTCCCTTGGTCCCTTGGTCCCCTCCTGGTCCCTCCTGGTCCCCTCCTGGTCCCTCCTGGTCCCTCCCGGTCCCTCCTGGTCCCTCTTGGTCCCTCCTGGTCCCCTCCTGGTCCCCTCCTGGTCCCCTCCTGGTCCCTCCTGGTCCCTCCTGGTCCCTCCTGGTCCCTCTTGGTCCCCTCCTGGTCCCTCTTGGTCCCCTCCTGGTCCCTCCTGGTCCCTCTTGGTCCCCTCCCTGGTCCCCTCCTGGTCCCTCCTGGTCCCCTCCTGGTCCCCCTTGGTCCCCTCCTGGTCCCTCCTGGTCCCTCTTGGTCCCCTCCTTGGTCCCCTCCCTGTCCCTGTCCCCCGGTCCCCTCCTGGTCCCTCTTGGTCCCCTCCTGGTCCCCTCCTTGTCCCCTCCCGGTCCCCTCCTGGTCCCCTCCTGGTCCCTCTTGGTCCCCTCCTGGTCCCCTCCTGGTCCCCTCCTGGTCCCTCTTGGTCCCTCTTGGTCCCTCCTGGTCCCTCCCGGTCCCCTCCTGGTCCCTCCTGGTCCCTCTTGGTCCCCTCCTGGTCCCCTCCTGGTCCCCTCCTGGTCCCTCCTGGTCCCCTCCTGGTCCCTCTTGGTCCCCTCCTGGTCCCTCTTGGTCCCCTCCTGGTCCCTCCTGGTCCCTCCTGGTCCCCTCCTGGTCCCCTCCTGGTCCCTCCTGGTCCCTCCCGGTCCCCTCTTGGTCCCTCCTGGTCCCTCCTGGTCCCCTCCTGGTCCCTCTTGGTCCCCTCCTGGTCCCTCCTGGTCCCTCTTGGTCCCCTCCTTGTCCCCTCCCGGTCCCCTCCTGGTCCCTCTTGGTCCCCTCCTGGTCCCTCTTGGTCCCCTCCTTGTCCCCTCCCGGTCCCCTCCTGGTCCCTCTTGGTCCCCTCCTGGTCCCCTCCTGGTCCCTCTTGGTCCCCTCCTGGTCCCTCCTGGTCCCCTCCTGGTCCCTCCTGGTCCCTCCCGGTCCCCCCCTGGTCCCTCCTGGTCCCCTCCTGGTCCCCTCCTGGTCCCTCTTGGTCCCCTCCTGGTCCCCTCCTGGTCCCTCCTGGTCCCTCCTGGTCCCCTCCTGGTCCCTCCTGGTCCCTCCCGGTCCCCTCCTGGTCCCCTCCTGGTCCCCTTGGTCCCCTCCTGGTCCCCTCCTGGTCCCTCCTGGTCCCTCCTGGTCCCCTCCTGGTCCCTCCTGGTCCCTCCTGGTCCCTCTTGGTCCCCTCCTGGTCCCCTCCTGGTCCCCTCCTGGTCCCTGCTGGTCCCCTCCTGGTCCCCTCCTGGTCCCCTCCTGGTCCCCCCCTGGTCCCCTCCTGGTCCCTCCTGGTCCCCTCCTGGTCCCTCCTGGTCCCTCCCGGTCCCCTCCTGGTCCCTCCTGGTCCCTCTTGGTCCCCTCCTGGTCCCCTCCTGGTCCCTCCTGGTCCCTCCTGGTCCCCTCCTGGTCCCTCTTGGTCCCCTCCTGGTCCCTCCTGGTCCCTCTTGGTCCCCTCCTGGTCCCCTCCTGGTCCCCTCCTGGTCCTTCCTGGTCCCTCCTGGTCCCTCCTGGTCCCTCCTGGTCCCTCCTGGTCCTCCTGGTCCCCTCCTGGTCCCTCTTGGTCCCCTCCTGGTCCCTCCTGGTCCCTCTTGGTCCCCTCCTGGTCCCCTCCTGGTCCTTCCTGGTCCCTCCTGGTCCCTCCTGGTCCCTCCTGGTCCCCTCCTGGTCCCCTCCTGGTCCCTCTTGGTCCCCTCCTGGTCCCTCCTGGTCCCTCTTGGTCCCCTCCTGGTCCCCTCCTGGTCCCTCCTGGTCCCCTCCTCTCACCCACGATGACAGACACCAGCATGCCGGTGACCCTCTGCTCCTTCACTTCCTGGATAACTGGTTTCTCTCCTGGTGCCGTGGCTTTGCTCATGACGGTCAGGGCGTTGACGTGAGTGACAGATCTGACCGTGGCGGCGGTGAGCCAGGGCAGACCGAACAGAGGACACACGGCGCCCAGGACCACGATGAGCAGGAGGTCCAGGTGGAACCCAGAGCCTTTGACCAGACGCCGCTCTTTCTTACTCACGATCAGACTGAGACCGAGGAGAGAGGTTTAATGGAACATAACGAGACCGAAAGGTTTGAGAGGATCAAGAAGAAGAAAAGGAAGATTCATCATTAATGCTTTTTATTACAATGAAGATGGGTCGCTCTGGTCTCTTTCTGGTCCCTCTCTCTGGTCTCTCTCTGGTCTCGCTCTCTGGTCTCTCTCTGGTCTCTCTCTGGTCTCTCTCTGGTCTCGCTTTCTGGTCTCTCTCTGGTCTCTCTCTGGTCTCTCTTTGGTCTCTCTCTCTGGTCTCTCTCTGGTCTCTCTCTGGTCTCTCCTGGTCTCTCTCTGGTCTCTCCCTGGTCTCTCTCCTGGTCTCTCTCTGGTCTCTCTCTGGTCTCTCCTGGTCTCTCTCTGGTCTCTCCTGGTCTCTCTCCTGGTCTCTCTCTGGTCTCTCCTGGTCTCTCTCTGGTCTCTCCTGGTCTCTCTCTGGTCTCTCCTGGTCTCTCTCTGGTCTCTCCTGGTCTCTCTCTGGTCTCTCTCCTGGTCTCTCTCCTGGTCTCTCTCTGGTCTCTCCTGGTCTCTCTCCTGGTCTCTCTCTGGTCTCTCCTGGTCTCTCTCTGGTCTCTCTCCTGGTCTCTCTCTCTGGTCTCTCTCTGGTCTCTCTCCTGGTCTCTCTCTGGTCTCTCCTGGTCTCTCTCTGGTCTCTCTCCTGGTCTCTCTCCTGGTCTCTCTCTGGTCTCTCCTGGTCTCTCTCCTGGTCTCTCTCTGGTCTCTCCTGGTCTCTCTCTGGTCTCTCTCCTGGTCTCTCCTGGTCTCTCCTGGTCTCTCTCTCTGGTCTCTCTCTGGTCTCTCTCCTGGTCTCTCTCTGGTCTCTCCTGGTCTCTCTCTGGTCTCTCTCCTGGTCTCTCTCCTGGTCTCTCTCTGGTCTCTCCTGGTCTCTCTCCTGGTCTCTCTCTGGTCTCTCCTGGTCTCTCTCTGGTCTCTCTCCTGGTCTCTCTCTCTGGTCTCTCTCTGGTCTCTCTCCTGGTCTCTCTCTGGTCTCTCCTGGTCTCTCTCTGGTCTCTCTCCTGGTCTCTCTCCTGGTCTCTCTCTGGTCTCTCCTGGTCTCTCTCCTGGTCTCTCTCTGGTCTCTCTTCTGGTCTCTCTCCTGGTCTCTCCTGGTCTCTCTCCTGGTCTCTCTCCTGGTCTCTCCTGGTCTCTCCTGGTCTCTCTCCTGGTCTCTCCTGGTCTCTCTCTGGTCTCTCTCCTGGTCTCTCTCTGGTCTCTCCTGGTCTCTCTCTGGTCTCTCTCTCTGGTCTCTCTCTGGTCTCTCTCCTGGTCTCTCTCTGGTCTCTCCTGGTCTCTCTCTGGTCTCTCTCCTGGTCTCTCTCCTGGTCTCTCTCTGGTCTCTCCTGGTCTCTCTCCTGGTCTCTCTCTGGTCTCTCCTGGTCTCTCTCTGGTCTCTCTCCTGGTCTCTCCTGGTCTCTCCTGGTCTCTCTCCTGGTCTCTCCTGGTCTCTCTCTGGTCTCTCTCCTGGTCTCTCTCTGGTCTCTCCTGGTCTCTCTCTGGTCTCTCTCCTGGTCTCTCTCCTGGTCTCTCTCTGGTCTCTCTCCTGGTCTCTCCTGGTCTCAGGTCTATGGTAGTCACAGTGGTGTCTCACGATGTGATCTGCGTCTCCATGAAGATGAGGATGAAGACGAGCAGAGCGGGCACCACCGAGGCGCCCATCATCCAGGGCGGGAAGGGCTTCTTATCCCCGAACGGGCTGATGACCCACGACCTCTTCTCTGGAGACGTGACGGAGAACCCCGACGGGACGTTCAGCTTCTGCAGGAGACACACTCAGATGTTAATAAATGTTATGTGTATTATCATATTAATAAATGTGTGTAGATTAGTTGGGTCTAGTCTAGTTAACCAACTCATGCATTGGGGGTGGCGAGAATGCAGAATTCTCCCAGCCCCAGGCAAGAGTGAAAGACGAGAAGAGTAAACAAGCATGAAGCCAGAAAACATCTGGGTTGAGTTGGTCTCATACAAGAAGACACTTCTTCTGATGGATGAGAAGATTGTTTTCTAACCTAGAGTTCAAAGGTCATATTGTCACATGTGTTTTAAATCCTTTGTATAAGAGGCGAGGCCTGGCTATCAGCGTGGTCTTTGTGCTTTGGCTTTCGTCCGCGCAGACCCAGGCTTCTCTCTCTGCCTGTCTTTTATATGTATTCTGTTTTATATATTAAACCTTCTTTTATATCTATCTAAGTTTGTAATTTCCTTCCTTTCATCGGGCGCCTGTTAAAGGAAACCTGGCTGAACTAGCATAACATTTTTTTGGTCCTTTGAGCCGGATCCCAACACTTCTTACAGGAGCTGAGCTTGTCTCAAACATGGACTTCCAGGAGCAACAACAAGGCCTTCTGCACTCGGAACTGAATTGGAACTCCAGGTTTGAGGCAGGACAGCCCTGGGTTGGAGTCGACGGGAGAACTACAGTTTTTTCCTGATGAAATCGCAACAAAGGCAAGTTCTGTACACTCTAAATTATGTCCAAAAGTAATCCAGGAAGTAGTGTGAAGTTCACATGAACACGTTCATTTAGGAAAACGCAGAAATTATGCTTGAGTCTGGGACTTTATTACACCACGAATTATGTCCGGGACTAATTCAAGAGAGTAGTGTGGAGCTCGATGAACAGGGCGTTCATTTAGGATAACACAGAGTCATGCCTTTAGTCAGGGACTTTTACAGAGCTCGAATGAACGGGTTTCATTCAAAAGGGTAACGCAGAGTTACGCCTGTATGATGAATGTGTTAGAATTGAATTACTTCAGACTGAACTTCTACATTACTTCTAAACTGAAATTGGACATTTATAGACATCTAAATAAGCTACATTGAAATTGGATGTTTAAAGACCTTTAAATTACTCAAAATTTGGAATTGGACATTGCAGAAAGTAGATAGACCACCATTTTGGGTGGCCATGTGTTTCTTTGTTTGTCTGTGTCCTTCTTTGTTCTGTGAGTCCTCTTTGTTTTCCTTTGTCAAAGTTTTCTTGGTTTAGAATTACCCTTCACCTTATGTTTTGATTCTGAAATGTATTAACAAATGTGCTTCTTGTTTTTGAGAAAAATGCCACATCCCTGCCAAAGCTTCAAAGCAACAAAATCCACCTATTTTCCATAGTGGGACAGAAAACCCACCCCATCGCCATCTCCATACAGCCATCGACACCTACGAAACCCCCCCCGCACCGGAAGCTGCTGACGAATAATCACGGGCCGATTTGCAAGGATCGGCCTGTGATCACGGGCCGTTTGCTCAAGTTAAATGGACGTGAGAATTGAAGGTGACATCTTGGTACATTTGTGACTTGAAAGTTCAGCTTTGTGTCGTTGTTGGAGAACGGCTTGCTGCTAGTCTTGCGTCGGAAACGCAGACAGAGAAGAGTTTCGAAACAGGAACAGAGTGGACATTTCAGGTCATAACCAAACATGAGGAGGGGTCGAGAGGACGTGTCAAATGGACTGACTATGGACTGTGAAAATGGACTTTGGGTTTTTGGGCTTTTGGGCTTTTGGGCTTTTGGGCGTGTGCGTGGTGTTGAATTTGATAACCAAAGTTTTGAGCCATGTATGTCTCAATAGGGGAATAGTTTATGGAACAACAATGTGAAATTATACTATGAACATTTTTTCTTTTTCAGTTTGGATGTGTGTTTTTTCATTTTCAGTTCTCCATGTTCTCCATGTTTAACATAGATTGTTTGATTTATCAAAAGGATAAAAAGGAGGGAATGATATTGGAATGTAACTTAAGTTATCATTTTGGTAAATCATATGTGGCTATGTGCTGAATGCTCTGTATTGTAATTCACTTTAGCTTCAGGAAGACTCCGGGAGGTCTGGGGAGCTCATATGTTAAGTGTCTTTTGTTGTGTTGGTTTCTTCCTTTCCCATCTGCATACGAAGGTGTGTCTTGCTCTACCAAAAGGGGCTTGCAGACTGTGGATCTTCAGACTTGTCCTGAGAGAGGCTGGGTCTGTGAGAGAGGCTGGGTCTGTGTCCTGCCTCTGTCAGGACATTCTCCTTGTACAATGTAACAAGTAAAAGATTAACTTTGTCTCTTTGTTGTGTGAGATTGGGTCTACAGCCTCAGTCCTGGGTCTATAGGCTCAGTCCTGGATCTACAGCCTCAGTCCTGGGTCTACAGCCTCAGTCCTGGGTCTACAGCCTCAGTCCTGGGTCTACAGCCTCAGTCCTGGGTCTACAGCCTCAGTCCTGGTCTACAGCCTCAGTCCTGGGTCTACAGCCTCAGTCCTGGGTCTACAGCCTCAGTCCTGGGTCTACAGCCTCAGTCCTGGGTCTACAGCCTCAGTCCTGGGTCTACAGTCTACAGTCTCAGTCCTGGGTCTACAGCCTCAGTCCTGGGTCTACAGCCTCAGTCCCGGGTCTACAGCCTCAGTCCTCGGTCTACAGCCTCAGTCCTGGGTCTACAGCCTCAGTCCTGGGTCTACAGCCTCAGTCCCGGGTCTACAGTCTCAGTCCCGGGTCTACAGCCTCAGTCCTGGGTCTACAGCCTCAGTCCTGGGTCTACAGCCTCAGTCCTGGGTCTACAGCCTCAGTCCTGGGTCTACAGCCTCAGTCCTGGGTCTACAGCCTCAGTCCTGGGTCTACAGCCTCAGTCCTGGGTCTACAGCCTCAGTCCCGGGTCTACAGTCTCAGTCCCGGGTCTACAGCCTCAGTCCTGGGTCTACAGCCTCAGTCCTGGGTCTACAGCCTCAGTCCTGGGTCTACAGTCTCAGTCCTGGGTCTACAGCCTCAGTCCTGGGTCTACAGCCTCAGTCCTGGGTCTACAGCCTCCTCAGTCCAGATACTTTTTCTTTTAGTAAAATAAATAATTCCACATGAGTTCATTCATAGTTTTGATAACTTCAGTGTCCATCTAAAATGTTTATTATCGTGAAAATAAAAAAACTCTTTGAATGAGAAGAGAGAGAGAAAAGAGAGACCAGAGAGAGACCAGAAAGAGACCAGAGAGAGAGACCAGAGAGAGACCAGAGAGAGACCAGAGAGAGAGACCAGAGAGAGAGAGAGACCAGAGAGACACCAGAGAGAGACCAGAGAGAGAGACCAGAGAGAGAGAGAGACCAGAGAGACACCAGAGAGAGACCAGAGAGAGACCAGAGAGAGACCAGAGAGAAAGATCAAAGTGTGACCAGAGAGAATTACAATATAATGGACAACATGTTTCTCAGGAGAAAGAGAGACTATCTCAGTCTGTCTTTCAGTCTCTCTCTCTGGTCTCTCTCTCACTTTCTCAGGTGTCTCTCTGGTTTCTGCCTGGTCTCTCTCTCCCTCTGGTTTCTCTCTGGTCTCTCTCTGGTCTCTCTCTCTGGTCTCTCTCTGGTCTCTCTCTGGTCTCTCTCTGGTCTCTCTCTGGTCTCTCACTGGTCTCTCTCTGGTCTCTCTCTGGTCAGTGGTATTGTTGATAGCTTCTTGCTAACCTTGACACGTATGTTGGGTGTTTGGGCCCCAGTTTAACCCCAGGGGCCCTGAAGTTGACACAGCTCCACACAGAACCATGGATGGTCCCCCTCAGCCAATCAGAGAGCTCGCTTTGAGAGAGAGGAGCCAATGGCATCGCTGCGTCTGGCTCTAATTCAAACACACTGTGGTATTTCCTGCCCACCCCCAAAACCACAACAACACTGACACATGGAAGGGGGACCAGGACACATGTGGAGGCTCTCTCTGGCCTCTCTCTGGTCTCTCTCTGGTCCCTCTCTGGTCTCTCTCTGGTCTCTCTCTGATGGTCTCTCTCTGGTCTCTCTCTGGTCCCTCTCTGGTCTCTCTCTGGTCTCTCTCTGGTCTCTCTCTGGTCTCTCTCTGGTCTCTCTCTGGTCTCTCTCTGGTCCCTCTCTGGTCTCTCTCTGGTCTCTCTCTGGTCTCTCTCTGGTCTCTCTCTGGTCTCTCTCTGGTCTCTCTCTGGTCTCTCTCTGGTCTCTCCCTGGTCTCTCTCTGGTCTCTCTCTGGTCACTATATCCTTCATAAAGGAAAGTTTGCCCTCTTGTGGTGAGAACATGTATTACAAACACAAACATGAGGCTAAGAAGATTCAACAGTTCAATACATGAAATATAAACACCAGGATCACAGAGAACCATAAACCATTTTACTCTTACATGGAAGTCAATAGGAACCAGAGAAAGGAGCCAAACTTTGTTTTGGGCTTCACTGAGCTAGCAGGTTAGATTTGTCCATCTGTGTGTACCATCTGTACCACTCTATGGTTCAAACTCGCCCATACCTGCGTCTTTCCTCTCGTCAGTGTCCTGGATGGAAAACCACACTGAGAAACCACTTTCATCCAAATGAAAACGGCTCTCAGACACCAGCTCCACACCGCCATGCTCTGGTTCAGGCTCCTCACGTTCCTCCCAAGTCAGGCTGGTCTCCCTTTCAGGTCTCTCCCTTCTCTCTATAGTCTCTCTCAGGTCTCTCTCTTGTCTCTCTGGTCTCTTCTCTCTCTCAGGTCTCTCCCTTGTCTCTCTGTGGATGTTTCTGGGACAGTAAGACATGGCGTTTGAGAAAGAACAGGCTAAAGCCACTTAGACTGATGAAGAGGAGGAGGAGGAGGCTGTGATCTAATATAGAAATGAAGGATTGTTGCATCTGGAGAAGACTCAGTGATGATGCAGAAAACAGACAGAGAATGTTCTTCTGCAAACAAAGCATTTTTGTCTCTCTTTAGCTCTCTGGTCTCTCTCTCTCAGGTCTCTCTCTCTCTCTCTCTCTGGTCTCTCTCGCTCTGGTCTCTCTCTCTCTGGTCTCTCTCTCTCTGGTCTCTCTCTCTCTCTGGGCTCTCTCTCTCTGGGCTCTCTCTCTCTGGTCTCTCTCTATCTCTATTTGTGTTGACCATTTTATTTTGAAAAGCCAACACGGCTCCAAACAACGGAGCTCTTTATTTGTATATAATCTATTCAAACAGTAGTTTCTGAGAGGAGTTTAGGCCCAGTTTATCACGCTAATAAACTTCCCTATTGTGATGTCATTAATGGCAACCAGGAAGTAAAGTTCTGAGCTTGTTCACACTAAAGGGTACAAAAGGGTGAAGTGGAAAAATGTTTTTCATGTATGCAAATGTTCTATAGTAACTGTTGTTTACAGTTACTATAGAACATGTGACTAATGTATACAACAGTTACTATAGAACATGTGACTAATGTATACAACAGTTACTATAGAACATGTGACTAATGTATACAACAGTTACTATAGAACATGTGACTAATGTATACAACAGTTACTATAGAACATGTGACTGATGTATACAACAGTTACTATAGAACATGTGACTAATGTAAACAACAGTTACTATAGAACATGTGACTAATGTATACATCAGTTACTATAGAACATGTGACTAATGTATACAACAGTTACTATAGAACATGTGACTAATGTAAACAACAGTTACTATAGAACATGTGACTAATGTATACAACAGTTTCTATAGAACATGTGACTAATGTATACAACAGTTACTATAGAACATGTGACTCATGTAAACAACAGTTACTATAGAACATGTGACTCATGTATACAACAGTTACTATAGAACATGTGACTAATGTATACAACAGTTACTATAGAACATGTGACTAATGTATACAACAGTTACTATAGAACATGTGACTAATGTAACAGTTACTATAGAACATGTGACTAATGTATACAACAGTTACTATAGAACATGTGACTCATGTATACAACAGTTACTATAGAACATGTGACTCATGTAACAGTTACTATAGAACATGTGACTAATGTATACAACAGTTACTATAGAACATGTGACTAATGTAACAGTTACTATAGAACATGTGACTAATGTAAACAACAGTTACTATAGAACATGTGACTAATGTAACAGTTACTATAGAACATGTGACTAATGTATACAACAGTTACTATAGAACATGTGACTAATGTAAACAACAGTTACTATAGAACATGTGACTCATGTAACAGTTACTATAGAACATGTGACTAATGTATACAACAGTTACTATAGAACATGTGACTAATGTAACAGTTACTATAGAACATGTGACTAATGTATACAACAGTTACTATAGAACATGTGACTAATGTAAACCATAGTTACTATAGAACATGTGACTCATGTAACAGTTACTATAGAACATGTGACTAATGTATACAACAGTTACTATAGAACATGTGACTAATGTAACAGTTACTATAGAACATGTGACTAATGTAAACAACAGTTACAATAGAACATGTGACTAATGTAAACAACAGTTACTATAGAACATGTGACTAATGTATACAACAGTTACTATAGAACATGTGACTGATGTATACAACAGTTACTATAGAACATGTGACTAATGTAAACAACAGTTACTATAGAACATGTGACTAGTGTATACAACAGTTACTATAGAACATGTGACTAATGTATACAACAGTTACTATAGAACATGTGACTAATGTATACAACAGTTACTATAGAACATGTGACTAATGTAAACAACAGCTACTATAGAACATGTGACCAATGTAACAGTTACTATAGAACATGTGACTAATGTATACAACAGTTACTGTAGAACATGTGACTAATGTAAACAACAGCTACTATAGAACATGTGACCAATGTAACAGTTACTATAGAACATGTGACTAATGTATACAACAGTTACTATAGAACATGTGACTAATGTAAACAACAGTTACTATAGAACATGTGACTAATGTATACAACAGTTACTATAGAACATGTGACTAATGTATACAACAGTTACTATAGAACATGTGACTAATGTATACAACAGTTACTATAGAACATGTGACTCATGTAACAGTTACTATAGAACATGTGACTAATGTATACAACAGTTACTATAGAACATGTGACTAATGTAACAGTTACTATAGAACATGTGACTAATGTAACAGTTACTATAGAACATGTGACTAATGTAACAGTTACTATAGAACATGTGACTAATGTATACAACAGTTACTATAGAACATGTGACTAATGTATACAACAGTTACTATAGAACATGTGACTAATGTAAACAACAGTTACTATAGAACATGTGACTAATGTATACAACAGTTACTATAGAACATGTGACTAATGTATACAACAGTTACTATAGAACATGTGACTAATGTATACAACAGTTACTATAGAACATGTGACTCATGTAACAGTTACTATAGAACATGTGACTAATGTATACAACAGTTACTATAGAACATGTGACTAATGTAACAGTTACTATAGAACATGTGACTAATGTAACAGTTACTATAGAACATGTGACTAATGTAACATTTACTATAGAACATGTGACTAATGTATACAACAGTTACTATAGAACATGTGACTAATGTATACAACAGTTACTATAGAACATGTGACTAATGTATACAACAGTTACTATAGAACATGTGACTAATGTAAACAACAGCTACTATAGAACATGTGACTAATGTAACAGTTACTATAGAATATGTGACTAATGTATACAACAGTTACTATAGAACATGTGACTAATGTATAAAACAGTTACTATAGAACATGTGACTAATGTATACAACAGTTACTATAGAACATGTGACTAATGTATACAACAGTTACTATAGAACATGTGACTAATGTAAACAACAGCTACTATAGAACATGTGACTAATGTATACAACTGTTACTATAGAACATGTGACTAATACAACAGTTACTATAGAACATGTGACTAATGTAAACAACAGTTACTATAGAACATGTGACTCATGTAACAGTTACTATAGAACATGTGACTAATGTATACAACAGTTACTATAGAACATGTGACTAATGTATACAACAGCTACTATAGAACATGTGACTAATGTAAACAACAGCTACTATAGAACATGTGACTAATGTAAACAACAGCTACTATAGAACATGTGACTAATGTATACAACAGTTACTATAGAACATGTGACTAATGTAAACAACAGCTACTATAGAACATGTGACTAATGTAACAGTTACTGTAGAACATGTGACTAATGTATACAACAGTTACTATAGAACATGTGACTAATGTAAACAACAGCTACTATAGAACATGTGACTAATGTAACAGTTACTGTAGAACATGTGACTAATGTATACAACAGTTACTATAGAACATGTGACTAATGTAAACAACAGCTACTATAGAACATGTGACTAATGTAAACAACAGCTACTATAGAACATGTGACTAATGTAAACAACAGCTACTATAGAACATGTGACTAATGTATACAACAGCTACTATAGAACATTTGACTAATGTAACAGTTACTATAGAACATGTGACAAATGTATACAACAGTTACTATAGAACATGTGACTAATGTAAACAACAGCTACTATAGAACATGTGACTAATGTAAACAACAGCTACTATAGAACATGTGACCAATGTAACAGTTACTATAGAACATGTGACTAATGTATACAACTGTTACTATAGAACATGTGACTAATGTATACCACAGTTACTATAGAACATGTGACTAATGTAAACAACAGCTACTATAGAACATGTGACTAATACAACAGTTACTATAGAACATGTGACTAATGTATACAACAGTTACTACAGAACATGTGACTAATGTATACAACAGTTACTACAGAACATGTGACTAATGTAAACAACAGTTACTATAGAACATGTGACTAATGTAAGCAACAGTTACTATAGAACATGTGACTAATGTATACAACAGTAACTATAGAACATGTAACTAATGTAAACAACAGTTACTATAGAACATGTGACTAATGTATACAACAGTTACTCTAGAACATGTGACTAATGTATACAACAGTTACTCTAGAACATGTAACTAATGTATACAACAGTTACTATAGAACATGTGACTAATACAACAGTTACTATAGAACATGTAACTAATGTAAACAAATGGAGCTTTCGCGAAAGTTCACCGTCTGGTCTCTCTGGTCTCTCTCTCTGGTCTCTCTGGTCTCTCTCTCTGGTCTCTCTCTCTGGTCTCTCTCTCTGGTCTCTCTCTCTGGTCTCTCTGGTCTCTCTCTCTGGTCTCTCTCTCTGGTCTCTCTCTCTGGTCTCTCTCTCTGGTCTCTCTCTCTGGTCTCTCTCTCTGGTCTCTCTCTCTGGTCTCTCTCTCTGGTCTCTCTGGTCTCTCTCTCTGGTCTCTCTCTCTGGTCTCTCTCTCTGGTCTCTCTCTGGTCTCTCTCTCTGGTCTCTCTCTGGTCTCTCTCTCTGGTCCCTCTCTCTGGTCTCTCTCTCTGGTCCTTAGTGCACTCTGCTGTGACTTTAGAAGAAATATTTTGAATTATTTCTGAAGTTAGGGAAATACTGGTGTGTTGTTTTGACTCCTCTGGTGTGCTCTCTCTCTCTGGTGTGCTCTCTCCTCGTCAGGTGGTGTCTGGGGGCGTGGCCAGTAACCAGTACATCCGCAAAGCCCTGAGTCTGATCACAGAGAGGGAGGGGCTGAGGCTGCTCTGTCCTCCACCACAACTCTGCACCGACAACGGAGTCATGATCGCATGGTGAGACCGGAGTGAGACCGGAGTGAGACCGGAGTGAGACCGGAGTGAGACCGGAGTGAGACCGGCGTGAGACCGGAGTGAGACCGGAGTGAGACCGGAGTGAGACCGGAGTGAGACCGGAGTGAGACCGGAGTGAGACCAGAGTGAGACCAGATTGAGACCATAGTGAGACCATAGTGAGACCAGAGTGAGACCAGAGTGAGACCAGAGTGAGACCAGAGTGAGACCAGAGTGAGACCAGAGTGAGACCAGAGTGATCTCTCTCTCTCTCTGGTCTCTCTCTCTCTCTGGTCTCTCTCTCTAACTGGTCGCTCTCTGGTCTCTCTCTCTCTGGTCTCACTTCTTGTCCCTCTCTGGTCTCTCTCTCTGGTCTCTCTCTGGTCTCTCTCTCTCTCTGGTCTCACTTCTTGTCCCTCTCTGGTCTCTCTCTCTGGTCTCTCTCTGGTCTCTCTCTCTCTCTGGTCTCACTTCTTGTCCCTCTCTGGTCTCTCTCTCTGGTCTCTCTCTGGTCTCTCTCTCTCTGGTCTCACTTCTTGTCCCTCTCTGGTCTCTCTCTCTCTGGTCTCTCTCTGGTCTCTCTCTGGTCTCTCTCTGGTCTCTCTCTCTGCTCTCTCTCTCTCTCTGGTCTCACTTCTTGTCCCTCTCTGGTCTCCCTCTCTGGTCTCTCTCTCTGGTCTCTCTCTCTCTGGTCTCTCTCTGGTCTCTCTCTGGTCTCTCTCTCTGCTCTCTCTCTCTCTCTGGTCTCACTTCTTGTCCCTCTCTGCTCTCTCTCTCTCTGGTCTCTCTCTCTGTCACAGGAATGGAGTGGAGAGACTGAGGGAGAACAGAGGAGTCCTGTCTCCAGATGTGGACGTCTTCTACCAACCAAAGTACGTACACTCACCTCCTCTGCAGTGAGGGAGCAGCGTCTGCAGTCAGAGCTCTGCCCCCTCCTCTGCAGTGAGGGAGCAGCGTCTGCAGTCAGAGCTCTGCCCTCTCCTCTGCAGTGAGGGAGCAGCGTCTGCAGTCAGAGCTCTGCCCCCTCCTCTGCAGTGAGGGAGCAGCGTCTGCAGTCAGAGCTCTGCCCCCTCCTCTGCAGTGAGGGAGCAGCGTCTGCAGTCAGAGCTCTGTCCCCTCCTCTGCAGTGAGGGAGCAGCGTCTGCAGTCAGAGCTCTGTCCTCTCCTCTGCAGTGAGGGAGCAGCGTCTGCAGTCAGAGCTCTGTCCTCTCCTCTGCAGTGAGGGAGCAGCGTCTGCAGTCAGAGCTCTGTCCTCTCCTCTGCAGTGAGGGAGCAGCGTCTGCAGTCAGAGCTCTGTCCTCTCCTCTGCAGTGAGGGAGCAGCGTCTGCAGTCAGAGCTCTGTCCTCTCCTCTGCAGTGAGGGAGCAGCGTCTGCAGTCAGAGCTCTGTCCTCTCCTCTGCAGTGAGGGAGCAGCGTCTGCAGTCAGAGCTCTGTCCTCTCCTCTGCAGTGAGGGAGCAGCGTCTGCAGTCAGAGCTCTGTCCTCTCCTCTGCAGTGAGGGAGCAGCGTCTGCAGTCAGAGCTCTGTCCTCTCCTCTGCAGTGAGGGAGCAGCGTCTGCAGTCAGAGCTCTGTCCTCTCCTCTGCAGTGAGGGAGCAGCGTCTGCAGTCAGAGCTCTGTCCTCTCCTCTGCAGTGAGGGAGCAGCGTCTGCAGTCAGAGCTCTGTCCTCTCCTCTGCAGTGAGGGAGCAGCGTCTGCAGTCAGAGCTCTGTCCTCTCCTCTGCAGTGAGGGAGCAGCGTCTGCAGTCAGAGCTCTGTCCTCTCCTCTGCAGTGAGGGAGCAGCGTCTCTGTGTCCTCTGTGTGTCCTCTGTGTGTCCTCTGTGTGTCCTCTGTGTCCTCTCTGTGTCCTCTCTGTGTCCTCTCTGTGTCCTCTCTGTGTCCTCTCCGTGTCCTCTGTGTCCTCTCTGTGTCCTCTCTGTTACAGAGCGCCTCTCGGTGCAGACGTCTCAGACCAGGTCCGGGCGGCGGCCATTAAACCTCCTCCAGTGAAGATGAAGATCTCATGATCCTCTTTATTTATATTTTTATAACTGTTCAATAAAAGTAATCCACTGCCACAGGGGGCGCTGTCTACTCTCATTATGTCCTCCACTGCCACAGAGGGCGCTGTCTACTGTCATTATGTCCTCCACTGCCACAGGGGGCGCTGTCTACTGTCATTATGTCCTCCACTGCCACAGGGGGCGCTGTCTACTGTCATTATGTCCTCCACTGCCACAGGGGGCGCTGTCTACTGTCATTATGTCCTCCACTGCCACAGGGGGCGCTGTCTACTGTCATTATGTCCTCCACTGCCACAGGGGGCGCTGTCTACTGTCATGTCCTCCACTGCCACAGGGGGCGCTGTCTACTGTCATGTCCTCCACTGCCACAGGGGGCACTGTCCACTGTTGTCACTGCCACAGGGGGCACTGTCTACTGTCATGTCCTCCACTGCCACAGGGGGCGCTGTCCACTGTTGTCACTGCCACAGGGGGCGCTGTCTACTGTCATGTCCTCCACTGCCACAGGGGGCACTGTCCACTGTTGTCACTGCCACAGGGGGCACTGTCTACTGTCATGTCCTCCACTGCCACAGGGGGCGCTGTCCACTGTTGTCACTGCCACAGGGGGCGCTGTCTACTGTCATGTCCTCCACTGCCACAGGGGGCGCTGTCCACTGTTGTCACTGCCACAGGGGGCGCTGTCTACTGTCATGTCCTCCACTGCCACAGGGGGCGCTGTCTACTGTCATGTCCTCCACTGCCACAGGGGGCGCTGTCCACTGTTGTCACTGCCACAGGGGGCGCTGTCTACTGTCATGTCCTCCACTGCCACAGGGGGCACTGTCCACTGTTGTCACTGCCACAGGGGGCGCTGTCCACTGTTGTCACTGCCACAGGGGGCGCTGTCCACTGTTGTCACTGCCACAGGGGGCGCTGTCCACTGTTGTCACTGCCACAGGGGGCGCTGTCCACTGTTGTCACTGCCACAATATATAAATAAATATGTTATATAAATATAATATATAAGGATGACTGCAGGACTAGGGCTGGCACAAGTTGTTGATTACAACTATTGGAGATTAGAAATGCAGTAGTTTATAACGAAAGGTCTCTGGAAGTTTCCATTAACTGAGATTTCATGACTCGGAGGAGACCAGGAGGAGACCAGGAGGAGACCAGAAGGAGACCAGGAGGAGACCAGAAGGATGCCAGGAGGAGACCAGGAGGAGACCAGGAGGAGACCAGAAGGATGCCAGGAGGAGACCAGGAGGAGACCACTGACAGGTGTGTCTCAGCTGAACATCAAACGGCTGCCTACGGGACCCAGCAGCGGATAAAGTGGAAGAACATGGAGGACGCAGTCATTTAAAACAGTTTATTTCAGTAAAAAAGTCTCTAACAGTAAAAAAAAGTACTTTGTCTTTTACTCTTGTGTCTAACGGCAACATGGGACAGGTTTAGTGGTTAGCCGTGCTTCTAAATTAATACTAGTGACAACTGTTTATCTAAGTGCATTAAAACAGGCGTTGAGTGGTTAGCCATGCTTCTAGATTTAATACTGTTTTGAAAGGGTTAGCCATGCTTCTAAATAAAAGTCTGAACTGGTTCGCTGTGCTTCTAAAAGGAAACAGATCTGTAGTGGTTCATGATTACATGTTTGAAAGGCTTCCAAGTTAGTTGTGTTTGAAGTGGTTAGCCGTGCTTCTAAGACCATTAGCAGTGCAATATCTTTGACTCACAATTTTTCCTCAATTCATAAATATTTCACTCAGTGTGACATCACCACAGTGTGACATCACCACAGTGTGACATCACCACAGTGTGACATCACCACAGTATGACATCACCACAGTATGACATCACCACAGTGTGACATCACCACAGTGTGACATCACCACAGTGTGACATCACCACAGCGTGTTTCCACGGAAAATGAAGGCCTCTGATTGGTCAATTCTTGTATGGCTAATAACTGGATTTAGCCTTTAACTCCATTTACAAGGAGCATCAGTCATTTTTGGTTCTTTGGGAGATCAAGAAACAAGAGTTTTTATTGAGAGAGAGACCAGAGAGAGACCAGAGAGAGAGACCAGAGAGAGACCAGAGAGAGACCAGAGAGAGACTAGAGAGAGAGACCAGAGAGAGACCAGAGAGAGAGACCAGAGAGAGAGACCAGAGAGAGAGACCAGAGAGAGACCAGAGAGAGACCAGAGAGAGACCAGAGAGAGACCAGAGAGAGACCAGAGAGAGACCAGAGAGAGAGACCAGAGAGAGAGACCAGAGAGAGACCAGAGAGAGAGACCAGAGAGAGACCAGAGAGAGAGACCAGAGAGAGAGACCAGAGAGAGAGACCAGAGAGAGACCAGAGAGAGACCAGAGAGAGACCAGAGAGAGACCAGAGAGAGACCAGAGAGAGAGACCAGAGAGAGACCAGAGAGAGACCAGAGAGAGACCAGAGGGAGACCAGAGAGAGACCAGAGAGAGACCAGAGAGAGACCAGAGAGAGACCAGAGAGAGAGACCAGAGAGAGAGACCAGAGAGACCAGAGAGAGACCAGAGAGAGACTAGAGAGAGACCAGAGAGAGACCAGAGAGAGACCAGAGAGAGACCAGAGAGAGAGACCAGAGAGAGACCAGAGAGAGACCAGAGAGAGACCAGAGAGAGAGACCAGAGAGAGAGACCAGAGAGACCAGAGAGAGAGACCAGAGAGAGACCAGAGAGAGACCAGAGAGAGAGTGAGAGCAGAGAGAAAGAGCAGTCTCCTCCTCAGTCTCCTCAGTCTCCTCCTCAGTCTCCTCCTCAGTCTCCTCCTCAGTCTCCTCCTCAGTCTCCTCCTCAGTCTCCTCCTCAGTCTCCTCCTACAGCTCGTCGTGGTCGTAGATGTTGTACTCCTTGGCGCTGATCAGTCCGTCGTGGTTGTGGTCGTTCTTCTTGAAGATGTCGTCCATGATGGTTCTGTAGAAGGCCTGGTCTCGGGGGTTTCCTGCTTTAGTGTAGTCCAGCTCCAGATACTGCAGCACCTGCAGAGGGGGGGGGGGGGGTTAGCACCTGCAGAGTGGGGGGGGGTTAGCACCTGCAGAGGGGGGGGGGGGTTAGCACCTGCAGAGTGGGGGGGGGTTAGCACCTGCAGAGGGGGCAGGGTTAGCACCGGTGATGGGAATAACGCCATTACTTTGTTCAGTAACGAGTAATCTGACTACTTTGACTGTAACTATAATTCTGTTATCATTAACATCCTGTTACTGCGCGTTACTCAAGACGCACAATGACCTTCTCTTTTTCCTTCATGACAGGACTCTGTCGTCATGAGAGGAGGATGAGAAAACCTCTCAGATGTTATCTGCTGATGTAAAACATATTTACAGTCTACATGTCTACAGTTCAGAGGACGGTCATAAAGTGTGTTTCTGAAACAAATGGGTCTTAATCTCACTCTACCACGGCTTGTATCAGCGTGAGGCCTCAGAGGTTTATATATATATATATATATATATATATAATATATACAGTCTATGCTTGTATCAGCGTGAGGCCTCAGAGGTTTATATATATATATATATATATATATATATATATAATATATACAGTCTATGCTTGTATCAGCGTAAGGCCAATGGCCTCAGGGGGAGCAATTCGCAATTTATTTGTCTCTATAAGTTTGGGGAAGTGTTGAGAAGTTGTTTTTTCTATTGAACACATTGAATTTAAAGCTGTGGTACCTATCTTCTAAAAGCAGGCTGTGTTTAACCGTCGCTCACCGTCGGTCTGACAGGCCCCAGATCCATCGTTGGGACAGTAGCGTGTCTCGGTCTTCCTCTTTCCCGCCTGCAGCAGCTGTGGCTGGGGGAGCAGGGCGCGGCAGGTGTAGCGGCTCCTCTGCTCCAGCCGTGCTCCGTCCTGGGACACGTTCACCGGGATCCAGGGCGTCCATGGCGTGTTCCTGCGCACCTCCGGACAGGACTCCAGGTTACAGGCGCGGTACTCCTGAAAGAAGAGGCCAGGCTTTTATGTCTGAATGTGCCTGGTGTATGCAAGGATGAGAATGGGACATATCAGCCAATGGCTGAAAGTATACACGCAAAGCGTCTACATTTGAGCATGGACATTTTTTATTTTTTTAAATAAACTAAGAAATGACTTCTGAGGAAGTCTTGAAAAATAAGGGTAATCATTACCTTTGAAAGCTTGAAATATCCAACAATATCTTAATAATTGTATTCTGTGTGGAAAAAATATCAAATAGACCATTTATTTTTAAAAAAAGGTATGTGTCTTAATATGAGCTATGAGTGTAAAATAAAGCTTAGTGATGAAAACCTGTGTGTAGCGATGAGTAAAGTGTATGTGTGTGTGTGTGTGTGTGTGTGTGTGTGTGTGTGTGTGTGTGTGTGTGTGTGTGTGTGTGTGTGTGTGTGTGTGTGTGTGTGTGTGTGTGTGCACTTGTTTTCAACTCCTGGTGGGTTCCATAACCTGAGATTCCGCTCACGTCATGGGGACTGGTTTTACGTGGTGGGGCCCGAACACCGGACCCCACTGGTCCAAGCTTAATAATCAATGGGTAATGCTTTTCTAACGGTCCTTATGCAGTCTCTGTAAAAATATGGAAAGGACCCCTGGAGGTTTACTTTCCTGAAAAAAGTGTGTTATGTGTCGGAACCCTGGTGGTGGGTTGCGGGATATCAAGGAGGGGCACACTGGGGCAATTTCAGTCCAGCAGGCTGGAGCCAATCATGGAGCAGCACAACAGAGGAAATCAGGTGTCAGGCTAGAAAAAGGTGCAAGTGTGTGGTTCATTAGGCTGCAAGAAATCATGGAGGAGCACACTGAAGCGCACGCTTACAAACCACTGGTAAGTGCTGACTACAAGTCATGACTTCAAATTGTTATATAGAATTATTACAAATTATTTGTTGTTTGTGCAGCTTAGTCAAGAGTCCCTAATTGATGAAGTCGACTCAGATTCTGACGATTTAACTGTCAAGAAGAAACCTGTAAAAAAGTATGGAAAAAGAAAAATCAAAAACACTTTTCTTCAAGACTCGGAAAGTGACGAACCAAAGGCAAATAAGATTGTTATCATGCAGCTGCAAAAGAAGAAAAATGGGGGGCGAGTTTACAGCAAGAGACACTTCTGCCTCTACTGTTCAATGTCCTGCCACAAAATGTCCCGTCATTTGACTAGAAAACATGGAAATGAAAGTGACGTAGCCAGAGCATTGGCTCTACCTGTGAAATCTAAAGCACGTAAACTTCAGTTTGATTTGATCAGGAATAGTGGAAACCGTGAGCACAATTTTGAGGTTTTAAAGGCCGGCATTGGAACTTTAGTCCCAGCTAAACAGCCAAATTCCCCAGTTAAATCCAGTGAGTTTTTGCACTGTATAGACTGTGGGGCATTGCTTAAGCGAAAGTCGCTGTGGAGGCATGTGGCCAGGTGCCGGCTTTCACAGAAAGATGCCCAGGCTAAACCAGGTAGAAGTAGGGTCCAGTCCCTCTGCTCCCTAGCCCAGCCTGTACCGGAGGGCATCAGCAAAAAGCTGTGCTCTTTAATTTGGGCAATGCATCAGGATGAGGTCACGGGTGTTGTCAAAGCAGAAAAGGGGATTCTGAGACTCGGAGAGCACCTGTACTTAAAACACGGGCATGATAAGACAAAGCATGATTACATTAGGCAGAAAATGAGAGAAGTCGGTAGGTTAATTAACGAAGCAAAAACTGCAGGGAAACTGAAAACAATGAAGGATTTCTTTATTCCTTCCAACTTTAACCATGTGATTGATGCAGTCAGGTCTGTGGCTGGATATGATGAGGAAACAAATCAATACAAGACTCCATCCTTGGCCCTCAAACTCGGCCATAGCCTCAGAAAGCTAGCAGATATTCTTGAATGTGACTCAAAAATGGAGCATTGTGTTGATGAACTATTTATTAAAAACCTCCAACGAAGCCGGCTGCTTTTTGAGAAGAGGTGGGACGTCTGTGTTTCTTCTGCTGCCCTACAGACCCTCCGGCAAGCCAAGTGGAACACTCCGGACCTGCTCCCTCTGACTGAGGACGTTAGAGCCATGCATGCACATATTGAGGTATGTCGACCTGAATATGTGCAAACCCTAATAAGTGAGCCAACGTCTAAGCATTGGTCTAAACTGGCAGTTTTGACTCTTTGTGAGGTCATCATTTTCAATCGAAGAAGGGAAGGTGAGGTTTCAAAGATGCCACTGACAGCCTTTACCTTAAGAAGTAAGACTGGGATCCATTCTGACATTGCTCTGGGACTGTCCCAACTTGAGAAAAAGCTGTGTCAGCATTTTCAACGCATTGAAATTAAAGGGAAAAGAAGTCGGAAAGTGCCGGTTCTTTTGACTCCTGAAATGATTGCTTCGATGGAGGTGCTGGTGGAGAACAGAAGGGCCTGTTCCATCTCTGACCATAACCCATACTTCTTTTCCCGCCCGGGCGCAGACACCCACATCAGGGGATCAGACTCCCTACGCCAGGTAGCCAAAGAATGTGGTGCGGTGCATCCAGAGATGCTATCCCTCAACCAAACTTAGAAAGCACATAGCTACTATGTCTACAGTTCTCAATATGAAAGAGAATGAGATGGACATACTTGCCAACTTCCTCGGCCATGACATTCGCATCCACAGGCAATATTACAGACTACCAGAGGGGACACTGGAGCTGGCCAAAATCAGCAAAGTGTTGATGGCCATGGAGCAGGGAAGAGTGACGGAATTCGAAGGAAAGAGCCTCGACCAGATACAAATTGAGCCTGAAGGTAATTCTTGATATTATTAAAATATGTATGATTTTTTTCCCCTAAAGGCCACTTGTATTTTTATTTTCTGTGCGACAGGGAGAGCAGTAGAGATCCTCTCACAAACGGACGGGCTAAAAGAAACTTCAAGCGGAGAACCTTCAACCATTCATCCAGATGCACCCCATGGTAGTGGCAGTGCCCCTTCTGGTAAGTGTACCAGGTGGGGGATTACAGCCAGGCTGCTTGGTCCTCACCCTGGGAGTGTATATTGCTAATATATTTTTATTTCTCTCCCTAGAACGTTAGAGAAAGCCATGGTCTGCATCTGAGGTGAAGGCTGTGGAGAAGACCATGACACCTTTCATACAGACTGGAAAGGTCCCTGGGAAGTCTCACTGCCTGGCCTGCATTAATGCCTCACCAGATGACCTTAGACATCGGACATGGAGTGGCATTAAATTCTATGTCAAAAATAGAATCACTGCAATTCGAAAACAAAATCTAAAATAAAATTCCTTTAAAATAGTTGTTTGGTTTCTATTGACTGTTTTGTATTACTTAAAGTCTTGGTAAAAAAAGATTATGTCTATGGGTCCCATTCTGAACGGCCCTGTCAAAGGGACCCACCAGGTAACAAAAACGTGTATGTGTGAGTGTGTGTGTGTGTGTGAGTGAGTGTGTGTGTGAGTGTGTGTGTGAGTGTGAGTGTGTGTGTGTGAGCGTGAGTGTGAGTGTGTGTGCGTGTGTGTAAGTGTGTGTGTGAGTGTGTGTGCGTGTGTGTGAGTGTGCGTGAGTGTGAGTGTGTGTGCGTGTGTGTGAGTGTGTGTGTGTGTGAGTGTATGTGAGTGTGTGTGAGTGTGAGTGTGTGTGTGTGAGTGTGTGTGTGTGAGTGTGTGTGTGTGCGTGTGAGTGTGTGTGCGTGTGAGTGAGTTGTCTTGTCCCATACCATTGGTGGTAGATGTTGTATTGTTCTTACTGTATGTACTGTACAGTAAACATTTGTATTATGTGTTTTTACCCAGCATGGTATTGTTTCCGTCTTACTGATTGTCCTGTGAGTCTGGGTGAGGGGGGTTGGATTAATATAAGCATTTTGCTTCCTCCAACCCCTTTTCAATCCCTGTACGTGTTTTTGCTTTTGTTTTGTTTTCTGTAAAATTATGTGTGCAGGTTTTGAAATAAATATTTCATTCATTCATTCACCTGAGGCAGACATCTTGGAGAGACCTGGGGCAGACATCTAGGAGAGACCAGAGGCAGACATCTTGGAGAGACCACGAGCAGACATTGTGACATATCAGCAACGCCATTCACTTTCTTCAGACGGCCGTTACTGAACTTTTCCCTTTTCTGCTGTAATTGGTGACGGACATATTAAAAAAGAGACCAGTAAACTGTTGAAATTGTTTATTGTCTGTAAGATACAGGGTTTGTGATCTCTGCTGGGGGTTGATGGGTGAATGTTTAATCATTTAATCAGAGTCACTGCTGCTGCTGCTGCTGCAGGAGCTGCTGGAAGACTGTGGACAAAGAGAATTATAAGATTGTATTAATAATATTATAATAAGATATGCTAATGCTACTGTTGTTACTAATGCTAATACTACTGCTAATCTCCCATAGGAGAAATGCGTCTTGGGACAGGGGTTAATATGCTTGCTACTGTTGATACAGCTAATACTACTGCTATGCTAATACTACAGCTAATGCTAATACTACTGCTGATGCTAATACTGCAGCTAATGCTAATACTACTCCTGATGCTACTAATGCTAATACTACTCCTAATGCTACTAATGCTAATACCAACATTACTGCTATTGCTAATACTACTGCTGATACTACTCCCGATGCTAATAATGCTAATGCTAATACTACTGCTCATGCTAATGCTACTGTTGTTATTGTTAATTCTACAGAAATGCTACTGGTGTTACTACTAATCAGACCTCACATTACACCTGTGTCACAGACCTCACATTACACCTGTGTCCTCCACATTACACCTGTGTTACAGACCTCACATTACACCTGTGTCCTCCACATTACACCTGTGTCCTCACATTACACCTGTGTTACAGACCTCACATTACACCTGTGTCCTCACATTACACCTGTGTCCTCCACATTACACCTGTGTCCTCACATTACACCTGTGTCCTCCACATTACACCTGTGTCCTCACATTACACCTGTGTCCTCACATTTCACCTATGTACCTCACATTACACCTGTGTTACCGACCTCACATTACGCCTGTGGCCTCACATTACACCTGTGTTACAGACCTCACATTACGCCTGTGTCCTCACATTACACCTGTGTTACAGGCCTCACATTACGCCTGTGTCCTCACATTACACCTGTGTCCTCACATTACACCTGTATCCTCACATTACACCTGTGTCCTCACATTACGCCTGTGTCCTCACATTACATCTGTGTCCTCACATTACACCTGTGTCCTCACATTACGCTGGTGTCCTCCACATTACACCTGTGTTACAGACCTCACATTACACCTGTGTCCTCACATTACACCTGTGTCCTCCACATTACACCTGTGTCCTCCACATTACACCTGTGTCCTCACATTACACCTGTGTCCTCCACATTACACCTGTGTCCTCACATTACACCTGTGTCCTCACATTACACCTGTGTCCTCCACATTACACCTGTGTCCTCACATTACACCTGTGTCCTCCACATTACACCTGTGTCCTCACATTACACCTGTGTCCTCACATTACACCTGTGTTACAGACCTCACATTACACCTGTGTCCTCACATTACACCTGTGTCCTCCACATTACACCTGTGTCCTCACATTACACCTGTGTCCTCCACATTACACCTGTGTCCTCACATTACACCTGTGTCCTCACATTACACCTGTGTCCTCACATTACACCTGTGTTACAGACCTCACATTACACCTGTGTCCTCAGATTACACCTGTGTCCTCACATTTCACCTGTGTACCTCACATTACACCTGTGTTACCGACCTCACATTACGCCTGTGTCCTCACATTACACCTGTGTTACAGACCTCACATTACGCCTGTGTCCTCACATTACACCTGTGTTACAGGCCTCACATTACGCCTGTGTCCTCACATTACACCTGTGTCCTCACATTACACCTGTGTCCTCACATTACGCCTGTGTCCTCACATTACGCCTGTGTCCTCACATTACGCTGGTGTCCTCACATTACGCCTGTGTCCTTACATTACACCTGTGTTACAGACCTCACATTACGCCTGTGTCCTCACATTACACCTGTGTTACAGGCCTCACATTACGCCTGTGTCCTCACATTACACCTGTGTCCTCACATTACACCTGTGTCCTCACATTACGGCTGTGTCCTCACATTACACCTGTGTCCTCACATTACGCTTGTGTAGTCACATTACGCCTGTGTCCTCACATTACACCTGTGTCCTCACATTACACCTGTGTTACCGACCTCACATTACGCTTGTGTCCTCACATTACGCCTGTGTCCTCACATTAGACCTGTGTCCTCACATTACGCCTGTGTCCTCACATTACACCTGTGTCCTCACATTACGCCGGTGTCCTCACATTACACCTGTGTCCTCACATTACACCTGTGTACCTCACATTACACCTGTGTTACCAACCTCACATTACGCCTGTGTCCTCACATTACACCTGTGTTACAGACCTCACATTACGCCTGTGTCCTCACATTACACCTGTGTTACAGGCCTCACATTATGCCTGTGTCCTCACATTACACCTGTGTCCTCACATTACACCTGTGTCCTCACATTACGCCTGTGTCCTCACATTACACCTGTGTCCTCACATTACACCTGTGTCCTCACATTACACCTGTGTCCTCACATTACGCTGGTGTCCTCACATTACGCCTGTGTCCTCACATTACACCTGTGTCCTCACATTACACCTGTGTCCTCACATTACGCCTGTGTCCTCACATTACACCTGTGTCCTCACATTACGCCGGTGTCCTCACATTACACCTGTGTCCTCACATTACGCCTGTGTCCTCACATTACACCTGTGTCCTCACATTACGCCGGTGTCCTCACATTACACCTGTGTCCTCACATTACACCTGTGTCCTCACATTATGCCGGTGTCCTCACATTACACATGTGTCCTCACATTACACCTGTGTCCTCACATTACACCTGTGTCCTCACATTACACCTGTGTCCTCACATTACGCCTGTGTCCTCACATTACACCTGTGTCCTCACATTACGCCTGTGTCCTCACATTACGCCTGTGTCTTCACATTACGCCTGTGTCCTCACATTACACCTGTGTCCTCACATTACACCTGTGTCCTCACATTACACCTGTGTACCTCACATTACACCTGTGTTACCGACCTCACATTACGCCTGTGTCCTCACATTACACCTGTGTTACAGACCTCACATTACGCCTGTGTCCTCACATTACACCTGTGTTACAGGCCTCACATTATGCCTGTGTCCTCACATTACACCTGTGTCCTCACATTACGCCTGTGTCCTCTGAGATACTGTTGTGAATAGAATACTAAAGCTAATGTATTAGTGTGGGTGTGTTTACCCCGTGGCACTCCTTCCCCTTCTTGTGGCAGTGCTTGTGCTTGTGGCCCTTCCTCGGCCTTCGTCTCTTCCCCTTCTTCTTCACTCCATGACAGCCGTGTTTCTGCCCCTGCCCTTCTCCCCCATGACCGTGACCATGGCCGTGACCGTGACCATGGCCGTGACCGTGACCATGGCCGTGACCGTGACCATGGCCGTGACCATGGCCGTGACCGTGACCATGGCCGTGACCGTGACCACGACTGGGACTGTGACTGCGACCCGGACTGCGACCCGGACTGCGTCTGGGACTGTGACTGCGACCCGGACTGCGTCTGGGACTGTGACTCCCGCAGCGCTTGTGGCGACCTGAAAGAATGTGTTGAGGTTGTAGACAAAAGCAAGAAGAAAAAATAAACTAAAGTAACACACGCATATTCATACACACACACACACACACACACACATATATTCATACACACACACACACACACACACACACACACATATATTCATACACACACATACAAACACACACACACACACACACACATATATTCATACACACACATACAAACACACACACACACACACACACATACAAACACACACACACATACAAACACACGCACACACACACACATATTCATACACACACACACACACACATACAAGCACACACACACACATATACAAACACACACACACACACACACATACAAACACACACACACACACACATATACAAACACACAAACACACACACACACACACACATATATTCATACACACACATACAAACACACACACACACACACACACACACCTCGTCCTGACATCGCTGGACTCTGACGTGACGCTCACAAACACAGATCTGTGTGTGATCAAAGAAAATCTGCGTTAGTTAAAGCATCAAGGGCCCCAACACTGGCCCCGTTCAGAACCAGGCCCCGTTCAGAACCAGGCCCGTTCAGAGCCAGGCCCCGTTCAGAACCAGGCCCGTTCAGAGCCAGGCCCCGTTCAGACCCAGGCCCGTTCAGAGCCAGGCCCCGTTCAGAACCAGGCCCCGTTCAGAGCCAGGCCCGTTCAGAGCCAGGCCCGTTCAGACCCAGGCCCGTTCAGAGCCAGGCCCGTTCAGAGCCAGGCCCGTTCAGAGCCAGGCCCGTTCAGAGCCAGGCCCCGTTCAGAGCCAGGCCCCGTTCAGACCCAGGCCCGTTCAGAGCCAGGCCCGTTCAGAGCCAGGCCCCGTTCAGACCCAGGCCCGTTCAGAGCCAGGCCCGTTCAGAGCCAGGCCCGTTCAGAGCCAGGCCCGTTCAGAGCCAGGCCCCGTTCAGAGCCAGGCCCCGTTCAGACCCAGGCCCGTTCAGAACCAGGCCCCGTTCAGACCCAGGCCCGTTCAGAGCCAGGCCCGTTCAGAGCCAGGCCCCGTTCAGACCCAGGCCCGTTCAGAGCCAGGCCCGTTCAGACCCAGGCCCGTTCAGAGCCAGGCCCGTTCAGAGCCAGGCCCGTTCAGAGCCAGGCCCCGTTCAGAGCCAGGCCCGTTCAGAGCCAGGCCCGTTCAGAGCCAGGCCCAGGTCTTCAGACTCTGGTTCATCTGAAGCACTGCAGTGACCCTCTGTCTGCAGCTGACAGTTACTGTGGAGAAGTATCTCTGAAACAGCGTCACAATCGTTTTTACTCTGGCTTTTTTATATATTTGTTTGTTTGGAAGTGTTTCTGCAGCTGGACACTTGAGTTTCTCCTTCAGCGATCAATAAAGAATCTGTTTCCCTTTGAGGAAAAAGGAGAGCACAGACTTGTGTCTCACAGTGACTGCGACACATAAATAAAGTGTACTCACGTGAGCGGCAGCTGCAGGACTGAGGAGCCTGGCACCTGACCTGGTTTATACTGAAGCTCCAAGCCCCGCCCCCATCAGCACCTGTCAATCAAACCTGTCCATGAGGTGTGGCCCTGACACAGAGGCATGCAGAGAATCCCTTTGTCTCTGTCCGGGAATGTGTCCTCTGCATTTGACCCGTCATCCAGGGTCACCAGGCCTGTGTCGCCGTAGTAACGGGCAAGGATATTGCCCATAATTCTTTGCGGTACACACCAAAACGTCGGGGAAATACATCGTTTTCCACTGACGTCACACACTACCCACAATTCCGTAGTTCGCCGTTTTACAAGTCAAGCCGCCGCTAGTTGTAGGTAAACAAAGTGCTCATATAACTTTTTTACGCTAAAACCATAGACTGTAAATATGAACGGACAGAGTCAGGCCTATCTGCGCCGTTCTAACTAATGGGCCAAAAATAGTGCTCTACTGGAGCTATCCAAAATGGCCGCGAGTGGTCCCGCCCACAAGAAAATTGTGAAAAAACTCATCTGCGCATGCGTCAGCCGGAGCAGCTCCATTCATTTAAACGAGAGACTTCTAAAGTCCACAGCGACTAAACTAGACTGGTCCAGAACACTCAGCATTGACACACATGTGGAACGGAGCTTTGGGCCAAGAGACACTTTTGGACCATCCTGTAAAGACGTTTTCCAGAGGTCAGCTAATGCTATATGTTAGCATTGGCTAATTCTTATTCCGGGTCCACCCCCACAGGCCCGGGGTGGTACTGCAGCATGTCAGGGTCCACCCCCACAGGCCCGGGGTGGTACTGCAGCATGTCAGAGTCCACCCCCACAGGCCCGGGGTGGTACTGCAGCATGTCAGAGTCCACCCCCACAGGCCCGGGGTGGTACTGCAGCATGTCAGGGTCCACCCCCACAGGCCCGGGGTGGTACTGCAGCATGTCAGAGTCCACCCCCACAGGCCCGGGGTGGTACTGCAGCATGTCAGAGTCCACCCCCACAGGCCCGGGGTGGTACTGCAGCATGTCAGAGTCCACCCCCACAGGCCCGGGGTGGTACTGCAGCATGTCAGCGCACGTCATTTTGGACACTTTTGAGCCGGGACCCGCCCACACTGATTAAAACATTCCGACTGCCTGCGTCGTTTGGGGGAGCAGTAATCGTGCAGTAACCGTGCAGTAACCGTGCAGTAATCGTGCAGTAACCGTGCAGTAACCGTGCAGTAACCGTGCAGTAACCGTGCAGTAACCGTGCAGTAACCGTGCAGTAACCGTGCAGTAACCGTGCAGTAACCGTGCAGTAACTGTGCAGTAACCGTGCAGTAACCGTGCAGAATGTGGGGACATTACAAAAGTTATTACGAGCCAAGGGAGAAAGAACCCTTTAGTTGGAGAGGGATTCAACCCTAACCCCTTTAACACTATGAGTTAAAGGTGACACTGAACACAGTTAAAGGTGACACTGAACACAGTTAAAGGTGACACTGAACACAGTTAAAGGTGACAATGAACACAGTTAAAGGTGACACACTGAACACAGTTAAAGGAGACACTGAACACAGTTAAAGGTGACACACTGAACACAGTTAAAGGTGACACACTGAACACAGTTAAAGGTGACACTGAACACAGTTAAAGGAGACACTGAACACAGTTAAAGGTGACACACTGAACACAGTTAAAGGAGACACTGAACACAGTTAAAGGAGACACTGAACACAGTTAAAGGAGACACTGAACACAGTTAAAGGAGACACTGAACACAGTTAAAGGAGACACACTGAACACAGTTAAAGGAGACACTGAACACAGTTAAAGGAGACACTGAACACAGTTAAAGGAGACACTGAACACAGTTAAAGGTGACAATGAACACAGTTAAAGGTGACACACTGAACACAGTTAAAGGTGACACTGAACACAGTTAAAGGTGACACACTGAACACAGTTAAAGGTGACACTGAACACAGTTAAAGGTGACACACTGAACACAGTTAAAGGTGACACACTGAACACAGTTAAAGGTGACACACTGAACACAGTTAAAGGTGACACACTGAACACAGTTAAAGGAGACACTGAACACAGTTAAAGGAGACACTGAACACAGTTAAAGGAGACACTGAACACAGTTAAAGGAGACACTGAACACAGTTAAAGGAGACACTGAACACAGTTAAAGGTGACACACTGAACACAGTTAAAGGTGACACTGAACACAGTTAAAGGTGACACACTGAACACAGTTAAAGGTGACACTGAACACAGTTAAAGGTGACACTGAACACAGTTAAAGGTGACACACTGAACACAGTTAAAGGTGACACTGAACACAGTTAAAGGAGACACTGAACACAGTTAAAGGAGACACTGAACACAGTTAAAGGTGACACACTGAACACAGTTAAAGGTGACACTGAACACAGTTAAAGGTGACACTGAACACAGTTAAAGGTGACACTGAACACAGTTAAAGGTGACACACTGAACACAGTTAAAGGTGACACTGAACACAGTTAAAGGAGACACTGAACACAGTTAAAGGAGACACTGAACACAGTTAAAGGAGACACTGAACACAGTTAAAGGAGACACTGAACACAGTTAAAGGAGACACTGAACACAGTTAAAGGTGACACACTGAACACAGTTAAAGGAGACACTGAACACAGTTAAAGGAGACACTGAACACAGTTAAAGGAGACACTGAACACAGTTAAAGGAGACACTGAACACAGTTAAAGGAGACACTGAACACAGTTAAAGGAGACACTGAACACAGTTAAAGGTGACACACTGAACACAGTTAAAGGAGACACTGAACACAGTTAAAGGAGACACTGAACACAGTTAAAGGAGACACTGAACACAGTTAAAGGAGACACTGAACACAGTTAAAGGTGACAATGAACACAGTTAAAGGTGACACACTGAACACAGTTAAAGGTGACACTGAACACAGTTAAAGGTGACACACTGAACACAGTTAAAGGTGACACACTGAACACAGTTAAAGGTGACACACTGAACACAGTTAAAGGTGACACACTGAACACAGTTAAAGGAGACACTGAACACAGTTAAAGGAGACACTGAACACAGTTAAAGGAGACACTGAACACAGTTAAAGGAGACACTGAACACAGTTAAAGGAGACACTGAACACAGTTAAAGGAGACACTGAACACAGTTAAAGGTGACACACTGAACACAGTTAAAGGTGACACTGAACACAGTTAAAGGTGACACTGAACACAGTTAAAGGTGACACTGAACACAGTTAAAGGTGACACACTGAACACAGTTAAAGGTGACACTGAACACAGTTAAAGGTGACACTGAACACAGTTAAAGGTGACACACTGAACACAGTTAAAGGTGACACTGAACACAGTTAAAGGAGACACTGAACACAGTTAAAGGAGACACTGAACACAGTTAAAGGTGACACACTGAACACAGTTAAAGGTGACACTGAACACAGTTAAAGGTGACACTGAACACAGTTAAAGGTGACACTGAACACAGTTAAAGGTGACACACTGAACACAGTTAAAGGTGACACACTGAACACAGTTAAAGGTGACACTGAACACAGTTAAAGGTGACACACTGAACACAGTTAAAGGTGACACACTGAACACAGTTAAAGGTGACACTGAACACAGTTAAAGGTGACACTGAACACAGTTAAAGGTGACACACTGAACACAGTTAAAGGTGACACTGAACACGGTTAAAGGTGACACACTGAACACAGTTAAAGGTGACACACTGAACACAGTTAAAGGTGACACTGAACACGGTTAAAGGTGACACACTGAACACAGTTAAAGGTGACACACTGAACACAGTTAAAGGTGACACTGAACACGGTTAAAGGTGACAGTCTGGATAAACTTTTCCACTGAAGCCTTGGGGCGTGTCCTGGTTACGCCACATGAAGTGTGGACTATGTTTATCTCACTCTGGTCTCATGATGGAACTGGTCCAACCAGAGAGAGAGAGAGAGACCTGAGAGAGAGAGAGACCAAAGAGAGAGAGAGGGAGACCAGAGAGAGACCAGAGAGAGACTAGAGAGACCAGAGAGAGAGACCAGAGAGGCCAGAGAGAGACCAGAGAGAGGCCAGAGAGACCAGAGAGAGAGACCAGAGAGGGACCAGAGAGAGACCAGAGAGAGACCGGAGAGAGACCAGAGAGAGGGACCAGAGAGAGACCAGAGAGACCAGAGAGAGACCAAAGAGGGACCAGAGAGAGACCAGAGAGAGACCAGAGAGAGACCAGAGAGAGACCAGAGAGAGGGACCAGAGAGAGACCAGAGACCAGAGAGAGACCAGAGAGAGACCAGAGAGAGGGACCAGAGAGAGACCAGAGAGAGACCAGAGAGGGACCAGAGAGAAGACCAGAGAGAGAGACCAGAGAGAGACCAGAGAGAGACCAGAGAGAGACCAGAGAGAGACCAGAGAGAGACTAGAGAGACCAGAGAGAGACCAGAGAGAGACCAGAGAGAGACCAGAGAGAGACATGAGAGAGCTGATATGACGTCTTGTATTTAATTAAGACACACACACTCTTTAAAAGTTTATCTCATCTACTTTATGTTTCCAGAGTCATTTTGTTGTCGTCGTGTCGTTGTTGTGTTGTCATTGTGTGGTTGTGTTGTCATTGTGTTGTTGTGTTGTCAATGTGTTGTTGTGTTGTCATTGTGTGGTTGTGTTGTCATTGTGTGGTTGTGTTGCCGCCAGAGGGGAGCGGGGGTAGAGGGAGGAGAAGCGTCCCAGGGTCCAGATCGGGAACACGTTTCTGTACGAGGTGTAACTGATGGCACAGGATTTGTTAAATACTCCGGCAATGTTCTCCTGAAAAACACAGGAGGAGGAGGTGAAGGAGGTGGTGACAGAGGAGGTGAAGGAGGAGGTGACAGAGGAGGTGAAGGAGGAGCTGACAGAGGAGGTGAAGGAGAAGGTGACAGAGGAGGTGAAGGAGGAGGTGATGGAGGAGGTGACAGAGGAGGTGAAGGAGGAGGTGACAGAGGAGGTGAAGGAGGAGGTGACAGAGGAGGTGAAGGAGGAGGTGACAGAGGAGGTGAAGGAGGAGGTGACAGAGGAGGTGAAGGAGGAGGTGACAGAGGAGGTGACAGAGGAGGTGAAGGAGGAGGTGACAGAGGAGGTGAAGGAGGAGCTGACAGAGGAGGTGAAGGAGAAGGTGACAGAGGAGGTGAAGGAGGAGGTGATGGAGGAGGTGACAGAGGAGGTGAAGGAGAGGAGGTGACAGAGGAGGTGAAGGAGGAGGTGACAGAGGAGGTGAAGGAGGAGGTGACAGAGGAGGTGAAGGAGGAGGTGACAGAGGAGGTGAAGGAGAAGGTGACAGAGGAGGTGACAGAGGAGGTGAAGGAGGAGGTGACAGAGGAGGTGAAGGAGGAGGTGACAGAGGAGGTGAAGGAGGAGGTGACAGAGGAGGTGACAGAGGAGGTGAAGGAGGAGGTGACAGAGGAGGTGAAGGAGGAGGTGACAGAGGAGGTGAAGGAGGAGGTGATAGAGGAGGTGAAGGAGGAGGTGAAGGAGGAGGTGAAGGAGGAGGTGACAGAGGAGGTGAAGGAGGAGGTGACGGAGGAGGTGAAGGAGGAGGTGAAGGAGGAGGTGAAGGAGGAGGTGACAGAGGAGGTGAAGGAGGAGGTGACAAAGGAGGTGAAGGAGGAGGTGACAGAGGAGGTGAAGGAGGAGGTGACAGAGGAGGTGAAGGAGGAAGTGACAGAGGAGGTGAAGGATGAGGTGAAGGAGGAGGTGAAGGAGGAGGTGACAGAGGAGGTGAAGGAGGAGGTGACAGAGGAGGTGAAGCAGGAGGTGAAGGAGGAGGTGACAGAGGAGGTGAAGGAGGAGGTGACAGAGGAGGTGAAGGAGGAGGTGACAGAGGAGGTGAAGGAGGAGGTGACAGAGGAGGTGACAGAGGAGGTGAAGGAGGAGGTGACAGAGGAGGTGAAGGAGGAAGTGACAGAGGAGGTGAAGGAGGAGGTGAAGGAGGAGGTGACAGAGGAGGTGACAGAGGAGGTGAAGGAGGAGGTAGAGGAGGAGGTGACAGAGGAGGTGAAGGAGGAGGTAGAGGAGGAGAAGGAGGAGGTGACAGAGGAGGTGAAGGAGAAGGTGACAGAGGAGGTGAAAGGAGGAGGTGATGGAGGAGGTGACAGAGGAGGTGAAGGAGGAGGTGACAGAGGAGGTGAAGGAGGAGGTGACAGAGGAGGTGAAGGAGGAGGTGACAGAGGAGGTGAAGGAGGAGGTGACAGAGGAGGTGAAGGAGGAGGTGACAGAGGAGGTGACAGAGGAGGTGAAGGAGGAGGTGACAGAGGAGGTGAAGGAGGAGCTGACAGAGGAGGTGAAGGAGAAGGTGACAGAGGAGGTGAAGGAGGAGGTGATGGAGGAGGTGACAGAGGAGGTGAAGGAGGAGGTGATAGAGGAGGTGAAGGAGGAGGTGAAGGAGGAGGTGAAGGAGGAGGTGACAGAGGAGGTGAAGGAGGAGGTGACAGAGGAGGTGAAGGAGGAGGTAGAGGAGGAGAAGGAGGAGGTGACAGAGGAGGTGAAGGAGGAGGTGACAGAGGAGGTGAAGGAGGAGGTGACAGAGGAGGTGACAGAGGAGGTGACAGAGGAGGTGACAGAGGAGGTGAAGGAGGAGGTGACAGAGGAGGTGACAGAGTACCTGTGGCCAGTCCCCGTTGGGCAGCTGTCTGTGGACCAGCAGACGCACTCCTCTCTCAATGGCTTCATGGTCCGGATGCCTGAGGAAGATGACATCATCATCGTCTCTCTCTGGTCTCTCTCTGGTCTCTCTCTGGTCTCTCTCTCTGGTCTCTCTCTCTGGTCTCTCTCTCTGGTCTCTCTCTCTGGTCTCTCTCTCTGGTCTCTCTCTCTGGTCTCTCTCTCTGGTCTCTCTCTCTGGTCTCTCTCTCTGGTCTCTCTCTCTGGTCTCTCTCTCTGGTCTCTCTCTGGTGAAACCAGGTGAGACCAAGTGAGACCAGGTGAGAGACCAGGTGAGAGACCAGGTGAGAGACCAGGTGAGAGACCAGGTGAGAGAGTACCTGACAGCCATCAGTCCCATCAGGGCCCAGCAGGTGTTGTGGATCTGAGCCTCTGGACTCTGGACGTATCTTCTCTGTTCACACGACTCAAAGTCCTCCCCCCATCCTCCCCCCTCCATCTGCCGGGACAGGAGGAAGCTACAGGCCGACTCCACCTCCGCACAGGCCACCCTGGGGGAGAGAGGGGGAGGGAGGGGGGAGAGAGAGGGAGGGAGGGGGAGGGAGGGGGGAGGGAGAGAGAGGGGGGAGGGAGAGGGAGGGAGGGGGAGGGAGGGAGGGGGAAGGGAGAGAGAGGGGGGAGGGAGAGGGGGAGGGAGAGGGGGAGGGGTGAGAGAGGGGGGAGAGAGAGGGGGGAGAGAGAGGGAGGGAGGGGGAGGATTCAAGTTCCAATTCAGATAACCTGGCTAACGCGACACACCACGATGTAGGGAAGGAAGCTAGCGTTAGCACTGTATCCACTGATACCACCATTATCTGCACTATTATAAGTGAAGTTATGACTAAGGGACTGGAAGACCTAAGACAACAGGTGCCAAGGGATTTGACCAAGTTTCAGGAAATAATCAAGAATGATATGAAAACTCAGCTGGATGCCCTCAATGCTAACATCAACCAGAAGCTAGAGGCCGCTGCCAGCCAGATAGAGGAGGCTACACGGCGCCTGGAGGAGGTGGAAAGAAAAGCGGCTGATGGTACAACAGGTACAGGTGGAAACCCGGCTGATGGTACAACAGGTACAGATGGATACCCAGCTGATGGTACAACAGGTACAGATGGATACCCAGCTGATGGTACAACAGGTACAGATGGAAACCCGGCTGATGGTACAACAGGTACAGATGGAAACCCGGCTGATGGTACAACAGGTACAGATGGATACCCGGCTGATGGTACAACAGGTACAGGTGGATACCCGGCTGATGGTACAACAGGTACAGGTGGATACCCGGCTGATGGTACAACAGGTACAGGTGGATACCCGGCTGATGGTACAACAGGTACAGATGGATACCCGGCTGATGGTACAACAGGTACAGATGGATACCCAGCTGATGGTACAACAGGTACAGATGGATACCCAGCTGATGGTACAACAGGTACAGATGGATACCCGGCTGATGGTACAACAGGTACAGATGGATACCCGGCTGATGGTACAACAGGTACAGATGGATACCCGGCTGATGGTACAACAGGTACAGATGGATACCCGGCTGATGGTACAACAGGTACAGATGGATACCCAGCTGATGGTACAACAGGTACAGATGGATACCCAGCTGATGGTACAACAGGTACAGATGGATACCCAGCTGATGGTACAACAGGTACAGATGGAAACCCAGCTGATGGTACAACAGGTACAGATGGATACCCAGCTGATGGTACAACAGGTACAGGTGGATACCCGGCTGATGGTACAACAGGTACAGGTGGATACCCGGCTGATGGTACAACAGGTACAGGTGGATACCCGGCTGATGGTACAACAGGTACAGATGGATACCCAGCTGATGGTACAACAGGTACAGATGGATACCCGGCTGATGGTACAACAGGTACAGATGGATACCCAGCTGATGGTACAACAGGTACAGATGGATACCCGGCTGATGGTACAACAGGTACAGGTGGATACCCGGCTGATGGTACAACAGGTACAGGTGGATACCCGGCTGATGGTACAACAGGTACAGATGGATACCCAGCTGATGGTACAACAGGTACAGATGGATACCCGGCTGATGGTACAACAGGTACAGATGGATACCCAGCTGATGGTACAACAGGTACAGGTGGATACCCGGCTGATGGTACAACAGGTACAGGTGGATACCCGGCTGATGGTACAACAGGTACAGGTGGATACCCAGCTGATGGTACAACAGGTACAGGTGGATACCCAGCTGATGGTACAACAGGTACAGATGGATACCCAGCTGATGGTACAACAGGTACAGGTGGATACCCGGCTGATGGTACAACAGGTAGAGGTGGATACCCGGCTGATGGTACAACAGGTACAGGTGGATACCCAGCTGATGGTACAACAGGTACAGATGGATACCCAGCTGATGGTACAACAGGTACAGGTGGATACCCGGCTGATGGTACAACAGGTAGAGGTGGATACCCGGCTGATGGTACAACAGGTACAGGTGGATACCCGGCTGATGAGGAGCCGTTACTTCCACTGCTTAAAGAATGCTTTAACAATACATTGAAGGGAGGTATGCCCCCCCCCCTCATGGAGGGAGGCTTTTATCTCAGTTATACATAAAAAGGGGAAACAGATTGGATTGTAAATCGTATAAAGGCCAATCAGTATTCTCAATGTGGATTATAAGCTTTTTGCATCGATCCTGGCCAGGAGAATGGAAGAGGCTCCTTTCTCATAGATGAAGACCAAACAGGTTTTGTTAAAGATCGTCAAACACACGATAATATTCGACGAACCATTCATATCATTGATCACAAAACAAAGACAAATTCCAGAGCAGTACTTCTCAGATGCTGAGAAGGCCTTCGATTCAGTTCGTTGGCAATTCCTCTACCAGACAATGAGCCGCTTTGGCTTTGCAGATCAGTTCATACAATGCATAAAGGCCCTACATTCAGCACCAACCGAGTGGAGATCTAACTAACACAATAAAACTTCATAGAGGTTGTCGACAAGGCTGCCTGCTTAGCCCATTTCTGTTTCACTTGTTTATTGAACCGTTGGCCCAGATGATCCGTCAGGAGGAGGATCTAGAAGGCATAACTATGTACTACTCTGAGACATTACTACATCGATGTCTCATACTTTGGTGCGATGAGTCCTATCAAGATAAATGGAAAGGTTTGGAGCTATCCCTGTCTGAAATGCCATTACAGGCAACACTTGGATGTGTAGAATGCTGTAGAACAATTTTGAAGCTTGGAAACCCTTGTGTCAGTGTGGGAATCAAGGCCTGGATGCAAATTGTGAGGAGATTAGAACTTTTCAGACAAGTCAAGATGCTGAGGTGGCCTGCTTGTGACCCGCGACTGGGTACAACAGCAATGAGCCGCACTGCAGTGAGAGGACAGATGGACAGCTTCCAAAATGTTGTCCTTAAATTTGGCCTTGGTAACCATGATTTTTTCAGGTATCTCCAACTCCGTCATTATTTTACAAAAGAAATACAAAGCAATATATCAGTAAATGTTCCAGATCTGGTCCAATTACTCTTAAAAAGGTTGTTAGCAAAATATATAGGATTTTAAAGTCAATGGAAAAGGACACATACCTCCATGTAAAACACCAGAGGAACTCTGGTTGGAGGGATGGGAATCCCAAAGTAATACAACTAACTCATTCACTTGGAGAGATTTCTGTTGGAAAAGCCTGAGTCGTTTTTTTATGACACCAGTAGGTAAATCCAAGATTTCAGCTGCTCCATCTCTGTGCTGGAGGGAATGCAGATCCAACAAAGCGGATCAGGTACATATGTTTGGGTCATGTCCTGGAATGTTACAGTTTTGTCAGAAGGTGATAGCACTGATACGTCTTGTCTTAGGAATACAAGTCTGTTTCAACTCTTTTATTTCCCTGTTTCTAAGTGTTCCACCAACAGGTCTAAGTAAAAGTGACATTTATCTCTTTAGGATAAAAAAGGCAATAACCAAATGTTGGCTTAGAAAAGAGGCTCCATCTGTGAGTCACCGGACACAGATAATGATCCACAGAACAATGGAAACGATGACCTTTAACCTTCATCTACAACGTCACAAATGTTTCATACAATCAACTGACAATGTCCTCTGCTGTTCATGTATCTAATCCTCTCTGACCATGTGAGCTCTGTTTGTTTTTTAATGTTTCCAAAATGTTAAAAATAAAGTTTAAAAAAAAACTGTTACATTTCAAACTGTGCATCTCCTCTTTCACTTTGACAGAACATAAAGGTCTCACTCTGGTCTCTCTCTGGTCTCTCTCTGGTCTCTCTCTGGTCTCTCTCTCTGGTCTCTCTCTGGTCTCTCTCTGGTCTCTCTCTGGTCTCTCTCTGGTCTCTCTCTGGTCTCTCTCTGGTCTCTCTCTGGTCTCTCTCTGGTCTCACTCTGGTCTCACTCTGGTCTCTCTCTGGTCTCTCTCTGGTCTCTCTCTCTGGTCTCTCTCTGGTCTCTCTCTGGTCTCTCTCTGGTCTCTCTCTGGTCTCTCTCTGGTCTCTCTCTGGTCTCACTCTGGTCTCACTCTGGTCTCTCTCTGGTCTCTCTCTGGTCTCTCTCTCTGGTCTCTCTCTCTGGTCTCTCTCTCTGGTCTCTCTCTCTGGTCTCTCTCTGGTCTCTCTCTGGTCTCTCTCTCTGGTCTCTCTCTCTGGTCTCTCTCTGGTCTCTCTCTCTGGTCTCTCTCTCTGGTCTCTCTCTCTGGTCTCTCTCTGGTCTCTCTCTCTGGTCTCTCTCTGGTCTCTCTCTCTGGTCTCTCTCTGGTCTCTCTCTGGTCTCTCTCTCTGGTCTCTCTCTCTGGTCTCTCTCTGGTCTCTCTCTGGTCTCTCTCTGGTCTCTCTCTGGTCTCTCTCTGGTCTCACTCTGGTCTTACTCACCCGTCTTGGTACACGTGACCCATACAGGAGAAGGCCTCCAGACCGAACCATGTGCCGTAGGTGAAGCACACGCCCCACGACCTGCACAGAACCATCATCAGGAACCATAATCAGAACCATCAACAGATTCACACAGAGACAGAGCTGTGTACTCACCCCTCCCAGGAGCCGTCTGTTCTCTGGACCCTCCGGCAGTACTCCAGACCATCCACCAGGGTGGACCTGCAACCACACACCATGAAACCAGAGACACCAGAGACACCAGAGAGACCAGAGAGAGAGACCAGAGAAACCAGAGAGAGAGACCAGAGAGAGACCAGAGAGAGACCAGAGAGAGACCAGAGAGACCAGAGACACCAGAGAGAGACCAGAGAGACCAGAGACACCAGAGAGAGACCAGAGAGAGACCAGAGAGAGACCAGAGAGACCAGAGACACCAGAGAGAGACCAGAGACTGGAGAGAAACGAGAGACCAGAGAGAAAGAGACTAAAGAAGACCAGAGAGAGACAGTCCTGGTCTCAGTCATGACTCTGGTCTCAGTCCTGGTCTCAGTCCTGGTCTCAGTCCTGGCCCTGGTCTCAGTCCTGGTCTCAGTCCTGGTCTCAGTCCTGGTCTCAGTCCTGGCCCTGGTCTCAGCCCTGGTCTCAGTCCTGGTCTCAGTCCTGGTCTCAGTCCTGGTCTCAGTCCTGGTCTCAGTCCTGGTCTCAGTCCTGGTCTCAGTCCTGGTCTCAGTCCTGGTCTCAGTCCTGGTCTCAGTCCTGGTCTCAGTCCTGGTCTCAGTCCTGGTCCCAGTCCTGGTCTCAGTCCTGGTCTCAGTCCTGGTCTCAGTCCTGGTCTCAGTCCTGGTCTCAGTCCTGGTCTCAGCCCTGGTCTCAGTCCTGGTCTCAGTCCTGGTCTCAGTCCTGGTCTCAGTCCTGGTCTCAGTCCTGGTCCTGCCCCTGGTCCTGCCCCTGGTCCTGGTACTGGTCTCAGTCCTGGCCCTGGCCCTGGTCCTGCCCCTGGTCCTGGTACTGGTCTCAGTCCCAGTCCTGGCCCTGGTCTCAGTCCTGGTCTCAGTCCTGGTCTCAGTCCTGGTCTCAGTCCTGGTCTCAGTCCTGGTCTCAGTCCTGGTCCCAGTCCTGGTCCTGGTCCTGGCCCTGGTCCTGGTCCTGGTCTCAGTCCTGGTCCTGGTCCTGGTCCTGGTCTCAGTCCTGGTCTCAGTCCTGGTCCTGGCCCTGGTCCTGGCCCTGGTCTCAGTCCTGGTCTCAGTCCTGGTCTCAGTCCTGGTCTCAGTCCTGGTCTCAGTCCTGGTCTCAGTCCTGGTCTCAGTCCTGGTCTCAGCCCTGGTCTCAGCCCTGGTCTCAGTCCTGGTCTCACTCCTGGT